CTAGCAGACACCAGCCGTTTGTTCTGTCTAACCTGGGAATTTCCAGCACTTCCAGATGGTTTTTTATTCTGTTAGTTTTAACCAGTGAGACATTTTTGCTGTTTGTAGTTCTGGTCAGTTTCAGCCCCTTAGCTTCCTGTTGTTTAAGGTAATGTTACTGTATTTCTGGGTTCTCTTTATTTCATTTCTATTTATTGTCTGGAGTGTATGTTTGGGGCTAGGAGGCATTCATGTGACTAGAGGGACTTGTGGAGGTCATAGGACAGCTTGGGGGGCAGGGTCAGTTCACTTCACCTTGTGAGTCTCAAGCATTGAGTTCAGGTCGTCACACTTGACAGCAAGAGCTTTTACCCACTGAGCTGGCTTGCCAGCCTATTCTGCCATCCTGACCCCTTTCCTCCTCCTCTGTGTACAGTTTTCCTGTGTGCAGGTTTATTTTATAGAACTTTTTGAAAAATACATTCAGAAAAGTAAACAGAAGTTAATATGGTCTCATCTGCCCTAAAGAGGTGATGTTTGATCTGGAAGGGTGATCGCTAAGTCCAAATAATCACCTATTCAGGACCCTTTCTTCACACATGATCTACTTAACAGGCAGATCCAGTGAGTTCGAGTTTAGCCTGGTCTATATAGGGAATTCCAGGACAGCTATGGCTGTTATACAGAGAAATCCTGTCTGGAAAAAAAAAAAAGTTTGTAAAAACAATTGCAAAATTAAAGTGTGTGTCCTTCAACTTGTGGGTAGACTTCTTTCCCTACTTCATGGCAGATCCACAAATGTAGATCTGCAGCTCTCTCAGGCAGAACTCCACATTTGGTGAAGACTGCAGTAGAGTGGGCATGTCTTCTGCAAACTGAACAGCTTCTTGGTCTCCTTACTTCTGTGTATCACACCACATTCTACTTCTTTGCCTCCTCTCCCCCATCCAGCAAGCACGAGGAAGTAGCCTTACCTGGATTTTCTTAACTATTATTCAAAGTGGCCATTCTTCTCCCTACCCTCAAAGGACCAGATGACTTTGTCCCCAAGTTGTTCTAACCACCATACTTCCCAAACCAGGGGATAAACACAAATTCTTTTTTTATTTTAAAAATTATGTATGTATTTTATATATGAGTGTTCTATCTGCAAGTATGCCTGCATGCTAGATGAGGATATGCTGTTTAGGTTACCCTTTATCTACTTGTTTGTTTGTTTGTTTTTTTGATGATTGAGACAGGGTCACACTATGTAGCCCTGGCTGTCCATGAACTCATTATGTAGACCAGGCTGATCTCAAACTCACAGAGATGTGCCCACCTTTGCCTCCCAAGTGCTGGGATTAAAGGCATGTGCCACTATGCCCTGCTCTACTTGGCTTCTTGATGGTGTTCTGTCCGGGGAACCTGGGCCCAGTTGCTTCTGCTACTGCACAACTTTATCAGTGCTTTACCATGGATGCCATTAGCTGATGCTGCTGTTAAAGGCTTCCATCTTAAGCTTCTCAGAATTAAAAGCTCAAATTCATATATATATATATATATATATATTTTTTTTTTTTTGGTTTTTCAAGACAGGGTTTCTCTGTAGCTTTGGTGCCTGTCCCAGAACTAGCTCTTGTAGACCAGGTTGGCCTTGAACTCCCAGAGATCCGCCTGCCTCTGCCTCCTGAGTGCTGGGATTAAAGGCGTGCGCCACCACCTTCCGGTCCAAATTCATATTTATATTTTATTTTCTCTTTACCCTGTTTGTTCACAAACTGATCCTAGAAACTGCCTATTTTTTTTTTTTATCAAAATTGTAAGTTTTCACTTAGACATCTTTTTAGATAGTATATACTCAATGCTTTGCTGGGAGCCAGTAAAGGCTGGTTTCACCTGTGCTCCCTGAGCTTTGGTAAAAGCAAAATATACCTTGGTTAGTAAGTTATGTGGGATGTTGAAGCTCACTATGGGCCCTCTGGGCACAGCAGCTTGTGCTGTATGTGTCTTTCATGGGGAGCCTGAGCAGCTGGAAGGGAACATTTTCCTTTAAAGAATAAGTGTGAGTTCGAGGCCAGCCTGGTCTACATAGGGAGTTCCAGGACAGGCTCCAAAGCTACAGAGAAACCCTGTCTCGAAAAAACCAAAAAAAAAAAAAAAAAAAAAAAAAAAAGAATAAGTGTGCTCTGCCAAGGGTGACACTGATGTCTTTTGATCCTAAACCATATGCTGAATGGACTCTCGCAAAAATTCCCATTGTTGATGCCCACTGCTGCCTACTGACCATGTGTAGAAGCTGTGTGAGTCTGAATGGAAGATCTCTCCATCCCTGAATTCTCCTCTAGCTCTTACAACCTCCCAAAGAAAATTATCCCACAGACAGAAAGAATTCAGAAATATTTTCTCTCCTCTCCTTCACTTCCCTTCTCACTCTCTTTTTGGTGTATGGACTAAACAGGTCCCTTTACCACAAAACAACATCCTTAGCCCCAGAGACATTCCTTACAACATTCATCCTTCCACATTTTTCATGTATTAACAGCATAGGGGAATCAAAATAAGTCAATTGTATGCTGCTTGTTGTGGTGGTAACTTGATGGCCTTGGGGCAGCAGCCCTGTGTAGTTTCCAGATGAAGAAAGTGACTCACTTTACTGCTGCAGAGTAAGCATGTTAGGCGCTCTGTGGCACTGCCTGTGGGCAGACACAGTGGGAAGGAAACAGATGGGTCAGTATGCGTGAGCAGAACCTGAGTTAGTCTTCCTTTCCGATACTCAGAGAGGCTACTAAGAAGTCAAGCTATGACCAGGACATGTCGCACACACCTTTAATTTCAACAATCAGGAGGCAGAGGCAGGTCATGGGTCTCTCATGAGTTCGAGGTCAGCTTGGTCTACATAGTGAGTTCCAGGACAGCCAGAGCTACATACATGGTAAGACCCTTTCTAAACCCCCCCCCCCCCCGAAAAAAGAAAGGAAAGGAAATCTTTGCAAAACCTTTCTTTTTATCTCTTAACTCTGTCCCTTGGATTTGTAACCTGTCCAATGGCATAATGTAATCTCCATCTCAAAAAGTGATTCTAGACCTTAGGTGAGACTGAACCCTTGCTTAGTCAAGACAGCCCTTGGGGAGGTGGGGGGAAGTTAGGCTCCATATATAATGCATGGTTTAGGGTATGAGAAAAATGTAGGTGTGGCAGGAAGCTAAAGGAAAGTCTCTGAGGATTCAGCTCTCATGTACTCAGCACTGGCTGCTGTTTTTCTGACCAGTTCAACTAGTGAGAGTAGCCAGACCTTCTCCTTGGTTGATCTATTTGCTTGTTTTTTGAGACAGCATTTCTGTGTAGCCTTGGCTTCCCAGGAACTCACTCTGTAGACCAAGGTGGTCTCCACCTCATGGGGTTGCGCCTGCTTCTGCTTTCCTAGTGCTGGAATTCAAGGTGTGTGCCGCCACCACCTGATCTTGATTGCCAGTTTCATTTGATTGAGAGACACTTAGGAGATGTATAAAGCTCGTTTTGGGGGTGTCTGTGGTGGCATTATTGCATTGATTTTATTGTGTGTATATGTGTGTGCATGTCTCAGCATCCATGTAGAGGTCAGAGGACAACTTTCAGGAGTTGGTTCTCTCTTTCCAATCTGTCATACTGGGGATTGAACTCTGGTTATTAGGCTGGGAGGCACTGACCCCAGAGACAATTAAGTCAGGAGACATTCTTTGAATGTGGGTGGTACTATCCCATATGTTATTATGTGGTGGGGGAAGTGGCTGATGAAATAAGGAGCAAGGAAGAAGCCTAGTGGTACAGAGTTTCTTGGACCCCCCCCCCCCATCATGACATAGAGACTAGGCTTAGTTCTAGCTATCTTTTTTTTTTTAATTTAAAGTAACCCGTTTCTATTAATCGATGTTTACCTCATCTGCATACTGTCCATCTTGCTTTTCTACTTCCTCTGATTCCGGCTGACACCCCCCCCCCGCCCCCGCCCCACGAGTCCCACCTTTCCTTCCTCTGCCTAGCTATTGGCCATTCAGCTTTTTATTAGCTCAGATACAGTAAAACAGCAGCACATCTTAACACAGTCAAGCTTTCTATCTACAATGGTGGTGTGTCCTTGGTTACAATTCCTGTGATGAAATGGCATGACTGAAAGCACCTTGGGGGAAGAAAGGGTTTATTTGGCCTACATATCCCAAGTCAAAATTCATCGAGGGACGCCAGTGTAGGAACGCAAACCAGATAGAACTTGGAGGCAGGAGCAGACACAGAAGCCATAGAAGATTGCTATTTACTGGATTGCTCCTCGCAGCCTATACTCAGCTTGCTTTCTTATGGAGCTCAGGATCACTAGCCCCAGAGTTGGTACCACACACAATGGGCGGGATCTCCCACATCAATCACTAATGAAGAAAATGACCTACAGACCTGCCTGATCCTATGGAGGCATTTTCTCAATTGAGATTCCCTCCTTTCTGACTCCAGCTTGTGTCATGTTGACATAAAACTAGCTAGCTAGCACCCATGATGCTTAAATAAAGTGGTTCCTAGCCAGCTGTGGTGGTGCAGGCTTTTAATTCCAGCACCAAGGAGGCAGAGGCAGACAGATCTCTGAGTTGGAGGCCAGCCTGATCTACGGAGCGAGTTCCAAGAAAGCCAGAGAAACCCTTTCTTGAAAAGCTAGAAAGGAAAAATAAATAAGTAAAGTGATTCCTTTGCTGAGAAAGTAGTGCTTAAGTAATGAGGCCTATCTTTACTGTGGACTCGTGATGACTCTGTTTGGACCATTAATCCCAACTGATGGCACCAGGAATGGATCCAGCATTTGAGAGAGAAGGCAACATCTTCATCCTTGCAGCTCCTCCCTTGTTGTCTAGACTAGCTCAAGGGTTCACGGTTCTGCTAAGGATGCTGTTCTCTTCATCAGAACCCCAGGGTAATCTGAGTGAAGGCTGGGACTCTGTTCCTGATTGGGTAGAGTGGCAGCACAGGAGACAAGGTCTTTTTCCTCAGCTCACCTGTGCTTTTCCTCTTCCTATAGCTTAAAGGATGACCTCTAGGAAGAAAGTGTTGCTGAAGGTCATCATCCTGGGAGATTCTGGGTAAGTATTTCTCATGAATATGAGCTCACAGACGGATTTGAAGCCTCATCTTCACTGATCTCATCTCTGACAGCTCCACATTCTGCTCTGGGCCTGTCTTCTAGCCTTACTTTTGGGATATAGTAGAAACTTGAATGTTCCTTTGGTGTATATTTTTGTTCCTTGGTTTTTTTGCATGGGTTTGTGTGCATGTCCCTGTATGGATGTGTGTTTTCCTGGGAATATTCCAGGGTGTTGAACATGTTAGGCATGCACTCTACCACAGCTGCATCACTGTCTCTTTTAACATGTTTGGATTTGAGATTTTTGGGGAGGTAGTGAGGAGGGGGTAGGTCTGAACCCAGTAAATGATTTGTCATTTTTATGGATCCTTTGCTATACCATGTGGCCAAACTAGAAAGTGCTAGTCTCATGATGAAGGTACTATCAGTACCTTGCCTATGCAGATGTGGGTCTGCCTGCATGTACATTGCTGTTCCCTTCTGTGCCTGACCAAGGCTTGTATGTGGAAGAGCCAGGACCAGAAGAAGACTGGATTTTGTTTCTAGATTGTACACTCACCAACTAATGAACTCTTCAATGGCCAATAAGATTACTTGTTGGAATACAAAAGAGTTCCACAATCGTCTAGTAGGCTTTTCTTTTTTTCTTCTTTTCGGGGGGTGTTGAAACAGAGTCTCATCCTGTAGCTCTGACTATTCTGGAACTCATTGTGTAGACCAGGCTGACCCCAGACTCACAGAAGATCCACCTGCCTCTGCCTCCCAGTTTTTTTTTTTCTTTCAGTTTTCAGACTTGGTTTCTTATGTGACTCATGACAGCTTTGCTTCACTGAGGGTTTGTGTATAAATTAGTAAGATGGCGCAGTGCACATGCCTTCATCCCAGCTACTTAGAAGGCTGACGTGGGAAGGTCACTTAAGCCTGAAGCAAGCCTGAGCAGCACAGACTCTGTCTCTGAAAAAAGAAGGCAATAAGAACATATAAAAAACAGGTGTGCCCCTCTATTCCAAATTTCCTTCCTTTCCGTAAGAAAACCAGCCCCTCCCCCAGTATTATCTACAAACCTTCTAGTATGTGATGGTAGGGTGATTGTTGTCCTACGCTTGGTTGAGAGGGAGATACCTGTTCTCAATGATGACAGGTGGGTTACTTTGATAAAATGATTTGTTGTTATTGTTTTTATTTTTCAAGATGTTTTGTTTTTTAAATTGCTGTAGTGCTGTGGAGGTTAAAACCAGGGCCATGTGTCATGCAAGCACTTACCAGCTGAACTATATCTCTAGCCCAACAGGTTGCTTGTTTTTTTTTTTAATTTATTTATTATGTATATAGTGTTCTGGGCACCAGATCGCATTATAGATGGGTGTGAGCCTTCATGTGGTTGCTGGGAATTGAACTCAGGACCTCCGGAACAGCAATCAGTTCTCTTAACCTCTGAGCCATCTCTCCAGCCCAACAGGTGGCTTTTTAAATTGTGAGCATAAGTTAGTTTCAGTCCCTTATTTGTCTGAAACTTGTGGTTTTCTCCAATTTCAGTGTTGGAAAGACATCGCTCATGAACCAGTATGTAAATAAGAAGTTCAGTAACCAGTACAAAGCCACAATAGGAGCAGACTTTCTGACCAAGGAGGTGATGGTGGATGACAGACTTGTCACCATGCAGGTAAGCCACTCCAGAGCTGCTAGCCTGTTAGCTTACTGAATCTTTTAAGAAATGTATTCCTTATATGTGGGTGTCACAGGACAATTTGGGGGAGCTGGTTCTCTTTCTTCCTGTATATGTGTTCTAGGGATTGACTGAAAACACTTTACCAGCTGAGCCCTCTTGCAGGCCCAGCTTCTTGAATCTAAATTGTTTTTCACATCTACCTCTTGTAGGTGGACTTTTCTTGTCTACCTGCCAGTTCCCAAATAACTGACATGGAGACTCAAAATTTAATGAAAATTATGAATGCTCAGGCTTATTACTAACTAGTTCTTAAAACTTAAATTAACCCATATATATTAACCTACATTCTACCACGTGACATTACCTCTTTTACTTCACACCTCTTGTTTCTTCTCTGTGTCTCACTGGACTCCTGACTCCTCCCTCCTTCTTCCCAGTGTCCTTAGTTTGGTTTTTCCACTTAACCTTATCCTGTCCAGCTGTTGGCCAGTCAGCTTCTTTATTAAACCAATCACAGTGTAATTTACACAGTGTACAGAAAGTTTATTCTACAGCAACCTGTTTTCTTCCCTGTTTCTTAAACCTACCATTATATTCATAGAATTGTTAGATAAAACAACCAGTTTAAACTTGATTGGAGGCATGATAGGAATGGACCAGGGCCTTGTGCATGCTGAGTGTATATGTTCCCCCCCCCCCCACTAAGCTAGACCCTAGCCCCTAAATTTGAATTTTAGATTGCAAGACAACTAAGAATTTTTGTAAAATTTAATTTAGCTAGGTTTGTTGTGTGGTTTTTGTTGTTATTGTTTTCCTAAATTTAACAACCTATAGGTCCTTACTATGTTCCAAAATATCATCTTTCTGGGTTCTTTCTTTCTTTCTTTCTTTCTTTCTTTCAAGATTGGGGGCTGTAGGATCTTTCTGTGTAGCCATGATTATCCTGGAACTTAACGCGCTAGACTAGGCTGACCTTGAACTCAAAATGATGCACTTGCCTCTGCTGGAATTAAAGACTTGAGCCACCATTCGCCATTTGGCTTATCTCTTGGAATCTTTGTCCAGTATTTCAGGTCAGAAATCTTTGTGTGTTTCCTAACTTCTTATAGCAGACATTAAGGTGGTATTTATTTATTTGCTATTCTATTTGTGGCCTTTGGGACTGTAAAAGACGGCTATGTGATTAAGAGCACTGGCTGCTCTTTGCAGAGGACTCAGGTTCAGTTGCTGGCACCACTGTTTCTAACTCCAGTTCTAAGGGACCTGATACCCTCTTCTGCTCTCCAGGCACCAAGCATGCAATTCGGTGCACAAGTGCAGGCAAACCCACACACATTAATAAGTGCTTTTTTTTATAAGGTTGAGTTCTGTTAAGCCAGTCTAGTTTTTCCATGTGTCTGCTCAGCTTCATGCTCCAAGTACATTAGTGGTTCCAGTGAAACAGACTTTTTGGAAATCTTCATCTTATGGCCATACTTTTTTGTTGAGCGTTTTGTGTAGTGTATACATGTTCTTGTGCACAAACACGTCTAGAAAAAGAATCTCAATATTTTTGTCTTCTCTTCTGGTCCATGATGCCCACTCAGGTAGTTGGTACAGCAACATCAAACTAAAGAGACAAGAGAAGATTAATTTTTTAAAAATATTTATTTATTTATTTGTTATATATACAACATTCTATCTGTGTGTATGCCTACAGGCCAGAAGAGGGCACCAGACCTTATTACAGATGGTTGTGAGCCACCCTGTGGTTGCTGGGAATTGAACTCAGGACCTTTGGAATACTCTTAACCACTGAGCCATCTCTCCAGCCCGAGAAGATTATTCTTTGAGTTTCACATTAGACTTTTAGTTTTCCATTAAAGCTGAGGGCTATTGCCCCTTATTTTAAATTTTTTGGTGTGTGTGAATGCAGGTACATGTATACCAAGGCATGAGTATGTGGGTTAGAAAACAACCTCGGGGGTTGATCCTTGCCTTCTATCCTCCCACCCTTTTATTTATTTTCTCCTTAGACAAATAGGATCTCACTTAGTCGGTCTTGCTGACCTGGAATTTGCTGTGTTTATCAGGCTGTCCTTGAACTCAGAAATCTTCAGCCTCCTGAGTACTAGGATTAAAGGTGTGAGCTGCCATTTCGAGCTTCCTCTCTGTTTTGAGACAGGGTCTTTGTTTTTGTTTTCCCACTACGTGTGCCAGACTAGCTTTGTCTGAGCTTACAGGAATCCTGCCTCGGTCTTTCATCTCCCTGTTACAGCGCTGGCATTATAGAGGCTCTCCTTGTAAGTCTGGCTTTTATGTCATGAGTGATGAGGATCAGAATTCCGGTCCTCGTATTTATAACCCTCTGCTTTCTTTAAAAATCTTACTTTTTATGTGCATTGATGTTTTTGCCTGCATGTATGTCTGTCTGAGGGTGTTGGATCCTCTGTAATTGGAGTTACAGACAGTTGTGAGCTGCCACATGGGTGCTGGGAATTGAACCCAGGTCCTCTGGAAGAGCAGCCAGTGCTCTTAACTGGTGAACCATCTCTCCAGCCTTTTTTTTTTTTTTTTTTTTTTTTAAAGATAGTGTTTCATTTAGCCTTTTATGGGGCTTGGGGAACAACAGTGTCTCATAAAGTCCAGGTTAGCCTCAAACTCTATAGCAGAGGATGATGGCCTTGAATGTCTGATCTTTCTGCCCCTGCCTCCTGAGTGCTAGGATTATGGACTGCTGCCACACACTTAGCACAAAGTAAGAACTCTTTTAGTTTTTCGAGACAGGGTTTCTCTATAGCTTTGGAGCCTGTTGTTGAACTAGCTCTTGTAGATCAGGCTGTCCTCGAGAGATACACTTGCCTCTGCCTCCCGAGTGCTGGGATTAAAGGCGCGCACCACCACCGCCTGGCGTAAGAACTCTTAATTGACTCATATTTTAGGGTGGAGGTAATGTAAATCTGCCCTCCCCAGCCCGCCCACACTTATACATCTGGAGGTTTCTAAAATATCTGAGTGAAAGTTAAATAAACCAAATTTGAGAAAAGGAAATGAACAGATTATAGGAACAAAGAAGAAAGTGAAACTGTTACACACAGACTCAGGCTTCTGCCATGGGGTGGGTGTAGCTCGACTTTCTTTGGACTGCCAACTCCCAAATAATGACGTGGAGACTTGGTGATTATGAGAGCTTGGTCTTAGCTTATGCTTGTTCCCAACTAACTCTAAAAACTTACATTAACCCATTTATATTAATCTATGGTCTGCCATGTGACTCCATACTGTATGTCTGAGTCTCTCTGGGGAATCCCCCTCACCTCAGATTCCTCCCAGACTTCCTACCTTTCTCTCTCTTGGTCCTGCCTATTTTCTCCTGCGTAACTATTGGCGTTTGGCTCTTTATTAACCCAGTCAGAAGATGCCTTAGGTAGGGAGTTTAAACAGAGACACATCTTCGCAGTATAGAAAAAGGATTATCCCACAACAGATGGGATGATTTTGTAAGTTTCGGCTGTGAAAGGATAGAAAATCTAAGTTACTGCCCATGTGGGGAGCTGAAGCTGCAAAACGCACACTCAACAGCACAAGTCCAAGGCCCAGAAAGACTGTGAAAGGAGGGCAGGTAGATGGGCCCAGGGTGTGGCAATGCTTGTGGGACTCCTGAGCTTGAGACATCGCTCCATTGTTTACCTGTCCACTCATGTGGTGGTTGCTTTTGGTGTGTATTTGGGGAATGGAGAACTTGGAATTGAATCTAGGATTTCTTAAGTGCTGGACAAACACTGCTGTTGGGCTTTGTCTGCAGACCTTTTTAAAGTAGTGTTTTGAGACAGCACACTGACCTTGAACTTGCAGATCTCTTTGTCTCAGCCTCCCCTGGGTTTGCCTTCCCAAATTTGACTTTGTACATGTAGAATCTATATTCTTCAAAGAACCTGGAATCTGTCTTGAAGAATTTAACAGAAATGCCTATCATTCTTGACAAACAACAAGATTAGTTTGTGGGACATAAGTGGAGTGAGAACATACTCTCCTGGCCATAAGAGGAAATCATATGCCACAAGTAATCTTCATAATGACTGTCATTTTTTTAAAAATGGGAATAGAAACCAGAATGGAAAAAAAATGAGGATATGGAAAAGTTAGAACTTCAAAAACTGAAAAAACAACATCAAAATAAATGAAAGACACTGTTAAATTGTAGAAGCACAGTAAGCTACACGGCTTGGGCAGGGTTTCAAAAAGAACCTGAGACTGGCTAGGTTTAGTGGTACATGCCTTTGATCCCAGCACTTGAGAGGCAGAGACAGGCAGATCTCTGAGTACTGTGAATCTCTATGAGGCCACCTGGTCTATTTAGTTGAAAACATCCAAGGTTACATAATAAAGAGTCTGCCTTTGAAAAACAAACAAACAAAAGGAATCTGAGACTGCCAGAAACCAAATGGCTGCCTAGGAGCTCCCAGAAATAACAGGTGATGTGGAGGAAGGGTTGCTAGGCTGGTGCCCCCCACAGCAGCAGAGGTGGGAGGGAATGGGTACTAGCTAAAATGCAAGTGCTGCCCTTGGGTCCTGTGGTCACAGGGTTGAGAATTTAGATCCCAGCCACACTCACTGTGGCAATATATCCCATCAAAGAGGCGCAGCTGGAGACCCACAGGGCAGAAGGGTCCGGGAAAGGGTGAGATGAGATGGCCGCTTCTGAGTGATGGGGCAGTCTGGAGAGAGCTCCACATATTTCTCAGCTTGTAGTAAAAGATAAATAAGAATGAAGATATCACAAAAAAAGAACCCGAATGATGACCTCCCTGGGCTTGGAGAGTGTATTTTACGTTTTAAAAAGGAGCCTGGTCTGGTTCCACAGGCCTACAATCCCAGCTAGTTCAGGATCATCCAGGACAATTGATTCATATTTACAGATAGTCCAGGCTGCCCTTAAACTCTTGGAATTCTTTTGCCTTTGTTCTCCCAAGGGCTAAGAGTGTAGGCATGAACTACCACAGCTGGTTAATGTGTTAGAACTCCCCACTTTGAGGGTTGAGCAGTGTTACGGACCAAGCCTAAAGCTTCCGATAGGAAGGTGTTCAACCACAGAGCTCTGACTACAGCCCTGTACACTGATTTTAATTTGAAAGAGGAAAATAATTGTACATCTGCAGAAGAGACAAATGGCAATATAGACTTGAGAAAAAATTAATAGAACTTCTAAAACTTTGGGAATGTCAGTTCACAGTAGATTGGATACAGCAGAAAGGATCTACAACAAAGAAAACTGGCAGGAAATGGATGAGAAGGCTCTGTAAGGGCACACCTACCCACTTGTTTTTGTTTAGGGCCTTACACATACCCAGCAAGCATTCTCCCACTGAGCTTATGTATTTCTAGTACAGACCCACTTTTAATTAGTTTCAGGAGGAATAAGAGAAGAGATTAAAGATGAAATTTGCCAAGAATTTCTCAGAACTGATATTGCACCAAATGATGCCCACTTTCAAAAGATTAAGGAGGAGCCAAGAGAAGTGTAGCCACAGAAGCCAGGGAAGGAACAGCCTTGAGGTTGCCAACTAATCCATGATGGCAGTGCAGCAGCAACAGGGGGTGCTGTCCAAAGTATGTCAGCATATTCAGCAGGCTGTTCTAGAACTCTTGGCACTGAAAGCGTGAGTTCTTCCTGCTTTGGCCTCCATGAGTGCCCTACCACAGAGACACATAAATAAGAATAAAACAAAAGCATAGAACTAGAGGAGTAATTTCATGATAGAATGCTTGCTATGACCCATGAGGCCCTGGGTTTTGTCACTGTGGAGCAAAGAAAGCATAGGCAGCTTCCCTTGGTATCTACTCAGAGCAGGTCTGAGACACTTCCTCACCCAGATGCAACTTTTATACCCAGGGCTTTGGGTTTATATAGTTGAGTGGTCAAGCACTTGCATAGCATGCATGTGCTCCTGGATTCAGTCCCCAGCAACAACAAAACTGAGTGTGGTGGTGCTAGCCTGTTATCCAGCACTTGGGATACAGCCACAGGCAGGCGGATTCAAGGTCAGTGTGGGCTGGAGAGGTGGTGAAATGTTTAAGAGTACTGGCTCTTTTCCAGAGGACCCAGGTTTGAATCCCAGCATGCATAGTGGTATTCACAACTGCTTGTAACTCTAGTCCCAGGGAATCAGATACTCTTTTCTAGCCTCCTTGGACACCAGGCATGCACATGGTACACAGATATACACACAGGCAAAACACTCATAGACTAAAATAATAAAAATTTTAATAGAAATAAATGTTATAATTGATGGTCATGTCTATATAGAACGTAAGAATACCCTTGTATATAATTTTAATCTTCAATTTACTTACAGGATCTAATCCCATGTAAGCAGTTATTAGACTGTGTCTAGGAATAATGATACAGAGGGAAATCCATAAATGCATACTAAAGTGTGGCCTGGTGTTAGTTGGATCTTCAGGTGTGGCCCACATTGGGTCCTACTGTAAGGAAACCAGGATTGGAGTTATGCATTGTAATGTTCAGTGGAAGAATAGTGGTGGCTATGTTTTGTTTACATTTCTGATATTGTCAAGGAAGAAGCTAGGTGTCAAGTGTGCATAAACACTCAAACTCAGTAAGCTGAAATTGAAGTCCCTGAGGCAGCGGTATTAGCACAGATGCACAGAAGGCCCATGGGGCAATAGATAGGCACAGAACTTTGCTGGGAACCTTAGGGAGAGAGCTTCTGCTTGGGTTAGAGTGGAACCTTCAATAGAGTAACTACAGGCTTCAGGACCCAAGTGAGGTGGAAAAAGCATAAAGTAAAAATGTTTAGAAGGAAAATAGCCTTTGACATTTAAAGTGCAGCAAGAACAGTCATACAAGGTCAAGGTTGTATGAGGCCACATTAAATCAAATACCTAAATAACCAAAGTAACCACTGAACAGGAGAGTATGCTGTGTATGTATGCCTGTGGTTACGTGGGCAGACTACAGCAAATGGCAGGTTCTGGAAGCCTGATTTCAGGGAATTGGAGTGACGTCAAGGTGGAAGTGGGCAGGCATTGTACTTTTTTACAGTGTGGATACCCGCATACCTCCCAGCCTAATGGTTTCTGTGACTAATCAATGGCTTAAAACTTACCTATGGGCAGGAGGAGAGAAGCATTAAGAGTATCCATTGCCACCCTGCATGTGAGGGTGGATGGCCAGGGAATAAACTGCAGTATAATAAGGTCGTGGGATACTATTAGCTGTTGATTTGGGGTATGAGGAAAGACAACTGAAAGAGATTTACAGCAGAGTACTGTTAGTGTAAGACATTTTTTTCAAGAGCCATTTGCTTCTGGGGAAAAAGTGTCATTGGGGGCAGTGTTTTGTGTGTGTGTGTGTGTGTGTGTGTGTGTCTGCACCACATTCCTGCCTGGAGCCCACAAGAGCCATAAGAAGGCATCAGATTTCCTAGAATTGGAATTACAGGTAGTTATGAGTTGCCATGTGGGTGCTGGGAAATGGGTTCTCAGGAAGTACAGCCTTAACTGCTGAGCCATCTCTCTGGTTATTATAAGTACGAAAGAAAGAAAGAAAGAAAGAAAGAAAGAAAGAAAGAAAGAAGGAAGAAATGTAGGAGCTGGAGAAATGGCTCTGGCTCAGTGGTAAGAAGAGGTCCTGAGTTCAATTCCCAGTAACCACATGGTGGCTCACAACCGTCCATAATGAGATCTGGTGCCCTCTTCTGGTGTGCAGGCACACATTCCCGCAGAATACATATACATAATAAATAAATGTTCTTTGTTTTTTTTTAATGTAAAATAAGAACAGTGGCAATATTAATACCAGGTGGTAGAATGTATACTTAGCATTCATGAAGCTATGAGTTCCATCTCCAGGTTCCTTCTGTAGTACCCTCCCCCCAAATTAGAGCTTTGGATAGGTGAATATATGGGTATACTTTTGGATATAAAAGAGAAAATATTTCATTTGGGAATCTATACAGTAAGCAGTAGAGCTTGCTCAGAGTGTGTTGATGCCCTGTATTCTGTTCCCACTACTACCTTCTGAAAAAAATTCAGTTTGAAAATTTAAAAGGACCATTTGACATAGGGTTATTTTTTTGTTCTTGTTAATTGACAAATATAAATTATACTTTTGTAACTTTGAAGCTAAGGTAAATTAAAAAACTTCCCAGGAATAATGCCCCAGTTTTCAGCATGAGTTTTTTTCTTCTTCTTTTTTTTAAAATCTGCTCAGTCTTTGAATTCCTTATACCATTTGCACCTGTAGAACCATATATATGCCGAACCAGTGGGACCTGCTCCTAGCTTCTACTCTGTTGTTCTTGTCTCAGACCTTTTTTTAAAGAATTTTTAATTAACTTTGTTTTTGTTTTAATCTTTTTTAAAAAAACTTATTTATTTAAAGAAATGACATTGTTAAAAACCCATCAACACAAATATTCATTTTAGTCAGTAATCTTTTATTTCTACTACCCCTAGAAAAGCTTGTGGTAATGAATACCTTGTAATCTCAACAACTAGGAACCTGAGGCAGAAGGATTGCGAGTTCAAGGCCTGCTGTAGCTACATAGAGTACTCAAATAAAGCACAATAATCAAGCCCTTAGAAAGTTCCCAGAATACATAAGTCTTGGCTGTACCTTCATTTTCTTTGTAGCCTGTCCTGGAACTCACTTTGTAGATCAGGCTGGCCTTGAACTTACAGAGATCCACCTGCCACTGCCTCCCCAGTGCTAGGATTAAAGGCATGAGCAACCACCGCCTGGCTTTGTATCTTCATTTTCTTTTTAAATTTATTTATTATTTATTGAGAGTTGAGTATAGAGTTTATTCAGTGGGTTATGGAGGGGAAAGGGAAGAGGAGAGGGGGGGGAGGGGAAGGAAGAGGGAGAGGATAAGAGGCAGAAGCCACCTTTTCCTAAGAGAGACGGAACCTTAAATTTTATTTTAGATGCATTGACGTTTTGCCTTCACGTATGTCTGATCCTGTGGAAGTGGACTAACAGACAGTTGTGAACTATCATGTGGGTGCTAGGAATTGAATCTAGGTCCTCTGGAGGAGCAGTAGAGCTCTTAACTGCTGTAGCTTTATTTTCATTTCCTGTATACATACCCTGGAGAAGATAGAGGAGACTCATGCCACTCCCTCCTATACCTCCCCCCCCCCCCACACACACACACACAGTGCCCAGCATCTTCTGGAGACCGGGTCTTTTGTTTCTTACAGATCTGGGACACAGCTGGTCAAGAACGGTTCCAGTCTCTTGGTGTGGCCTTCTACAGAGGTGCAGATTGCTGTGTTCTGGTGTTTGATGTGACTGCCCCCAACACATTCAAAACCCTTGACAGCTGGAGAGACGAATTCCTTATTCAGGCCAGCCCCCGGGATCCCGAGAACTTCCCCTTTGTTGTGTTGGGAAACAAGATTGACCTTGAAAACAGACAAGTAAGTACCCCGACACCTGACAGGCCCCTCCTCTGGGACCTTGGAGTTTGGAGGGTTTTCTTCCAGGCTGAGAATAATCTAGGAAGGTACTGGTGGGAGTGCTTGTCACCCAGTGCCCAGCTGACCCCAGCCAGCTTTGATGTGAGACCGACTATTAGAGGAAGGAATAGGAATAGGTTTTCTCGCTTCAGGGTGGAAGAGTGCTATGAGTCATGCTGCTCATCGGAGTTCTACACAGCATTCCTGTCGGAACATAGTTTTGTTGATTTTAGCTCAGCTTATTTCTGACCATCTCTCTCCCTTTCTAGAGTTTGTCTCTGTTTCTTGGCTTGGACAGGGGAAAGATCTAAGGGGTGAGCACTGCAAAATCTGTGCCACTTGCCACTTGCAGGTGGCTCAAGATGGGTGTGGGTAAAGGGGTTTATACCAGAGATCAACCGTGGACCCCAGGAGAAATCGCTTTCTACCTCCTGGGATTGGCCGGTGGCACACTGCTAAGACCCACAAGGTCTGGCTATGGCCAGAAATAGCTCAAGTTTGGATACCTCACATGGGCAGCAGAGTGACCTGACCTGCAGGTCTATAGGCCACACTCATCCTCATTCCCAGATCTGTCCTAGGGAGGACCGAGTCATTGTCCACTGTTCATGTCAGTAATGTCCTCCTCCCTCCTCTAGGTGGCCACGAAGAGGGCACAGGCTTGGTGCTACAGCAAAAACAACATTCCCTACTTCGAGACCAGTGCCAAGGAGGCCATCAATGTGGAGCAGGCCTTCCAGACAATTGCTCGGAATGCCCTCAAACAGGTGGGTCTCCAGGACTCCCCAGATGCGAGGTGCCCTCTGGTGATGTCTGATGTTTTTTCCTGGATGCCTTTCTTCCTAGCTGCAGCTGGGAAAACCTAGGTTGCTTCTCTGGGTGGGATAGGTCATGACATACTCTGCCCCAGTCCTTAAGAGAGCCACGGCTTTATTAGTCATCTAAAAGACACAGGGCAGAGCTAGGGTGTGGCTTAGTGATAGAACACTTCCCTAAGATGCAGAGCACTCAAGGACAGCTTGGTCCTTGAATAATGAGTTCCAGACATAGTGAAACCTTTGGGGGAACAAAACAAACATCCTGGTGAAGGAGGTATGGGCTTGTTTTTTTTCCTGGGCAGTTTAGGAGATGAAGCCACATGGGACCTCATGCCAGATCAATACTTCTAGTTAATGAGTTAAAATTGAATCAGATCTCAGCTGCACCTAATTATTTATGTCTGAGCTTCTGCCCCTTCCATGCAGAACAATGCCAGCCTTGAAGGGTGGTTGTGGTTACCTGCCTCAACTCTCAGACCATGAAATGGCTGTTTCCTGAGAGTAGTTATGGACATAAACAAGTAAGAAATACAAGAAAACTGAATCACAAAATCCAGAGCTCCTAGCTACCCTCTTCTTGGAGAAAATAGTATGCACCACGGCAGTATAGAGGCCAGGCCTGTGACATAGGCCTGTAATTCCACCTATTGCAGGGAAGCTGAGGCAGGACGGCAAATTCAAGGCCAGCGAAGGCAACATAGTAGTGCATAGGAGCACTGGAGGTGTAGCCAGATTAGTGTTGGTTTAGCACACGCAAGACCCAGGGGTTCGTCACAGTGTTGGGGAGAATTTTTTCAAAAGTGTGGGCTTGGGCTACTGGCACTTTTGTAGGCCATGGTAAATTAAAGCTGGCTACAAGGCTTCATCATGCACGATCCAGAAAACAGTGTGGGTCAGCAGGGACACCTGAGGCAGGCAGTAGCTGCAAAGACAAGGTATGTTCTCCCATCTCTAGGGAGCTGGGTATCAATGCACTGGTTCTCAGCAGGACAGGACTACTGGCTGTGTGGGTGGCAGAGACTTGGAACGAACTGTTTCAGAGGCAGGAGTTCTGGTGTACAGAGGCTGCACAAAGTGCTTTAAGACAGTGGTGGGCCTGCCCAGGTAGAATCATTCATCCAAACACCAAGAAGCCCCCCCCCCCAAGAAACATGCTTTCTTCTGATTCCCCCCCCCCCCCAGTCTCCCCTCCTACCTGGATTTTTCTTAGCATGCATGTATCTGTGTGAAAATCCAAGTCTCTCATCTCTGTTCTGTGGCCTGACACCGTCAGGTTCTCTCCAGCCCTGCTGTTCTCTTTCCGGAGATGACCCCCTATACTCTGGTAGACTGTTTTGGATGGGGCTGGGAAGCTGTGGGTGGTGCCACAACTCCAGCTGCTGGATCTGTAAGTTGCCACTTTATAAGCACTGACCCTTTGAGCCTCTCCTCCTAGGCTTGACACTCTGATCTGATGCTTTTCTGTCCGCTTAGCAACTAAGCATGAATCTGTTGACATTTTAATTATCATCTGCTACCCCATGGCCCATCAGTCATCGCCCTGCCAGTAGTTTTTTTTTTTTTAAATATTTATTTATTTATTATGTATACAATATTCTTTCTGTGTGTATGCCTGAAGGCCAGAAGAGGGCAGCAGACCTCATTTCAGATGGTTGTGAGCCACCCATGTGGTTGCTGGGAATTGAACTCAGAACCTTTGGAAGAGCAGGCAATGCTCTTAACCGCTGAGCCATCTCTCCAGCCCCCTGCCAGTAGTTTTAAATTAAGTCTTTATTATTCTGTTTATTGATAAAAGACTCAGAAGTGAAAGGTGAGGGTGAAAACCTGCTGGCTCAGAGAGGTTGTTGCAACTAGCTGATGATGCTTTTTGGTTAGATACACTGCAAGAACTTCATCCTAGAACCAAGAGAGCTCAAACTCTAGTCCCTGTCCTGTGCATCCTTTCTATCCAAATTGCTGGCTTCTCTGTGCCCAATTCTAGTCAGCTAGTCACTGGCTGTGCTCCCTGATTCAAAGGTTATTGGACAGTCTTGGGCATATCAGTTTATCAAAATATCACACAACATTCTCATGAGGCTTGTTGTGCTTTTTAATATTTCATTTTCTCTTTTCCTGGAAAGAGAAGCTACATGTCCTTTTGAATTCTCCAGACCAAGATGCCTTTAATATGATGGGACTTTTTAGTTCCCTAACTCACCAAGGGTCCTTATACCAATGTGTGGTTCTTTCAGAGGCAGTTCTTGGGAATGTGCCCAGAGTGAGCGTATGAACTCCTGGTAACTAGACATTGCCTTCACCTACCTTCCAGCTTCCTTTATCACCCACCCCAATTCTTGTTTTTGATAACTTTTGGCTATAGGAAAAAAAGCTACCTTAGCTGGGTGTGGTGGTACCTGCTTGTAGTTTCAGCACTTAGGGAGTTGAGGTAAGAAGAGAGGAGAATGGCAAATTCTAGGACAGCCTAGGCTACATGTGGTAGAACATGTTATAATCCCAACACTTGGGAAGTGGAGACAGGAAGATCAGGAGAGTTTAAGACCAGCCTCAGCAACAAAGCAAATTCAAGGCTACCCTGGAAGACCCTGTGTCTAACAAGAAAAAGTCATCTTTCTGTTCAAATACAAATACAGGCTGGTTGTAACCTTTGCCCTTCAGAGAACCCACGTTTCCAGTGGGAGTGGGTGTTGGGGTAGCTGTTGTCCCCTTAAAGTGTGCCCAGTTGTTAAAGCATTCATGTTCATCTTTCGGAATTTCTAGACTGTCTTGGCCATGTCTGGGTTCTTTTACCTCAGTGGTTCTCAAACCTATTGTTCCTCTTATTGTGGTGAGCCCCCTGACCATAAAATTATTTCATCGCTACTTTTATGAATTGTAAATATCTGATTTGCAGGTTAACCCATTTACCTGGAGGACCATCTTTATTTCAGTATCTTGAGTGTATAGGTCTGCCTCCCAACTCCCTCTCAGCCAGGTCAAAGCCACTTGAGATTTTTGTTGGAATTGTATATCTACTTGGGTGGGCCATAACAAAATACCATAGATCGGATAGCTTATACATATATTTTATTAGAGTCTGGGACCAAGGCTGACACACTGGTTTTAGGATAGGGGACTTTCCTGTCATGCAGATGACTGTCTTCTTGCTATTCACACAGAGAGCAAATTTGATAAGCCTCCTGGGGTGTCTCAGTGACAACATATATAGTATAATTTCTGGAGCTTGAGCTCAGTTGGTAGAGTGCTCTCCCGGCATTCATGAGACCCTGGGATCCATCTTCAGTAACCCGGCATGGTAATACATTCTTTGTCCCAGCACCAGGTAGAAGCAGGAGAATTTAGTAATTCAAAATCCTCTACTTAGCAAGTTCAAGGTCAGCCTGGGATACATATGAGACCCTGTCTGAAAAGGAAAATTGGAAGTCCTGTGAGATCAGATGTCAGAGATAACCCTATCTAATCTGACTGTTCTAGGCATAGACACACTAGGAAGTTAGAGCTTCAACATCCAAACTTTGGGTTGACACCCATTCTGTCCAAGACTGTCATTCATAATCTGCTTTTTGTGTTAAAAGTACATATTAGTACTGACAGGAGTGTATGTACATTATTGTTCACCAACTGATGAGTGTCTAAACAAAAGGTGGTTCATCTACTACAGATGTCATTCAGCCATAGGAGCAGTAGAGTAGGCCAAGGGTCTAATGCAGAGGCTGGAATGAAACCTGTATCATATTAAGACCCTGTATCTCAGAAGTCCGTAGCGTATGGTGTGCACACTTGCCGTCCTTGTAGAAGCAGGAAGATTGCCCACAAATCCAGGACCAGGCTGAGCTACAGAGTAAGACCCTTTGTATGACAAGAGAAATGAGACAGGTCTGGGATGAAATGGGGCTCATTGGCAGAGTGCCTGCTTAGCATTTATGAAGCCCTGGCTTCCACTCATATTCATGGAGGGGGAAGGTGATGAGAAAACAAGATTGGTTGTGGTGGTGGTGGTGGGGAGAATGGCTGCTAAAGCACAGGGTTTCTTTTTCGGGTGATGAGTGTTGGGAACTGATGCACTAAGATAAAAAGTTCATGCTGTATTCAGTATGTATTCCCAGTTATTGCATGTTTTTGTAGCTGTTGTGAATAAAACAAGAATAATACTGTTTAGGAAACTTTCCTTCTTGGGTACCGTGCTGAGAGGCAGCTCCATTCCTCCTTACAAGGATTAGTCCAGGAAGTGACTGAAGCCCATCTTAGCTGCTCATGAAGCACAGGTGATGGCATCCCCCACAGCTCTGCCCCCCCAGGCTGCAACCTGTGGAAGAAAAGAGACTAGCTCCTGGACAACAGTCCAGAAAATTCAATGGGACGTGATCACATGGGGAGCATCCTGGGACCGTGGAGCAGTGAGCAGGGCCCTACCTGACAGTTACTGGGTGTGGTCTACGATGCTCATCAGCAGCATGTGTTCTGACTACCTGGTGTAGATGTGGTTCCTGCTGACTCCTTACCGAGTCTGTCACCCTGCACCAAGCTGAGAATTGTCATCAACCTCTCTCTCTCCCCGACCAGGAAACAGAAGTGGAGTTATACAATGAATTCCCTGAACCCATCAAACTGGACAAGAATGACCGGGCCAAGGCCTCCGCAGAGAGCTGCAGCTGTTGAAGGGGCAGTGAGCACAGAGCACAGAGTCCTTCACAGACCAAGAACACACATAGGCCTTCAATATGCGTCCCTCCTCCTCTAAACAGAACAGAACGTGATCTCTCACATCCAGCTGCCAAAAGAAAACCACCAAACACAGTCAGCTACCACATATACACACATACACACACACAGTAAGCAAACTCTAGCCTGTGCCTGACGGGCTCTTGAGCCTTGTGTACAGCAGGCATATGGCGGAGACCCTGGGTGCTCTGGGGTGCAGTGGGCATGGAAAGCTTACTCTTTTTGTCCACTGGAGAGTGAGAGAACTGTTCACAGTTCGTCTGTGTCTAATTATCTGATTTTTTTTTTTAACGGTCTTGTGGTCTTTACCCCTACCCCTCCTTGAAGGTCCTGTGGGAAGGCTGGTGCCCACGTTCCATTCTGAACAGGCTGTTTTGTATGTATCTGTTAATGCTTGTTACTTTTAACTAATCAGATCTTTTTACAGTATCCATTTATTATGTAATGCTTCTTAGAAAAGAATCTTATAGTACATGTTAATATATGCAACCAATTAAAATGTATAAATTAGTGTAAGGAATTCCTGGATTGTGTGTTTAAGTCCTCTAACGCAGGCTTGCAAGGTGGAGGGTTGAACCCTGTCTGGATTACAAGAGTGTTAGAGACTCAAATTTGGAAGTCCAGCTAGTGGCAGTATTCTGTACAGTAGACAAAAGAATTATGTACGCCTTTTATCAAAGACTTAAGAGCCAAAAGCTTTTGATCTCTCCAGAGGGAAAACTGAACTAGACAGTTCCCTTCTGTGTCTAAATTTTCCAAAAGGTTGATTTGCATAATAACAGTAGTATGTACAATGGGTAAATTGCTGTTATTTTAGAAATTAAATTCTCATTTTCCCCTTCTTAGTTTTTTTTTTCTTCCGTTCAACACTTTACTACGCCCTTTAGATCAATATCCTACTCTAAGGGGAAAAGAGCACCCCACCAGACCTGTCCTAGTGACTCTACCTTTGTTCTAGAAGGCGCTCCTTTCAGGGTGGTACCTGTAGGTTAGCAGACCCCCCTCCTTTTCCCCCACCCCACCCAAGTGTGGCCCAGCACTAACCCACCCGTCTCTTGGGTTGAGCCCTGGCAGTTCTGTTCCCTCCCGAGGTCCTGCTCTGCATCATGGCTTGCTTCCCAGAGCACTTCCCCTCCAAAAGTCTACATTCTAGAGTGTAGGCTGAGTTCTTCTGTAAAGAGACGAGCGTGATGCCAATAAAATTTAACAGGAACAAAGAAAAGTTGCCCTGTCTTTTTTTTCTTGTAGACTTCAGCTGTGTGGAGACATTCTCTGTGTTCATTGTACCCTTGTGGGCCCTTGTGGAGCTTAGAGGCAGGGATGCCTTCATGCCTAATCCTAGAATACCTGCCGCCCTAGTGGGGATCTTTTTCTTAACCACAGTATTGGGAAAGGTGGGGCATGGAATGGAAAACATGTTTCCTAAGAGCAGCGGCCCAAAACCGCTGGTGACCTCAGGCCATTATATACCTGGAATCTGTGTGTGTGTGACAGTGTCAGACAGGTGGGCTGAATGACTGGGGCCAAATGACAGTTGTCACTTTTCACAGGTCTTCCCTTCTGGCAGCAGGAACCTGTACCCCAGCATACACAGGGCACATGCTGACTGAGAGGCTGCCATTGCAGTGGTTCTTAATGTGTCCATTGAGGTCTTACTAACCATCTCCCAGAATCTCCAAACTCCTCTCACTTTCCTTCTTTCTCCTGCCCCTTGGCACAGACTTCATTGTTAAAAATTACATTTTTCTGGGCATTGTGATATACTTGTAGGCAAATGAGACGAAAGGTTGAGGCAGGAGGATCGCTTGAGCTTAGGCATTTGGTGTTAGCTCTGTGTCTGTCAAATCTTGCCAGAGTTGAACTGATAAAACCATTTCCCCAAGACAGACTTGACAGCACATGAGGGAGGCTAGGGCAGGAGGAAGGGGAGTTCAGGGCCAACCTAGGCCTGTCTAAAAAAATTCAAATATAAGGCTGGGGGAGGTGGTACATGCTTTTCGTCTCTGGAGGCAGAGGTAGGTAGTGAACTCTGAGTTCTAGGCCAGCCTGGTCTGTGTAGTGAGTTCCAGGGCTATATAGAGAATCTGTCTCAAAAATAGTCAAAGACAATTTCCCCTACATACATCCAGCTTTTCTACCTTCACTTTAAAAACCTGGAATACTTCCTGAGTTTCTAGTAGTGATTAAGGGCCCACCTCAGTCAAATTCTGGGGGTAAGGGTATGACTTGGAGGCTCACACTTGCCTGGTGAGACCTTGGATTGCACCTGCAATCCACAGAAACCCTCACATCACGAGCAACTATGAGTGGTATGGCCTCTGCCAGGCAGAACATGCTGAGGCTGGAGGGTTGCTGGGGAGTCTGTTCCTGACCCTTCCTATAGAGGGGGCCCCTGTGCACCTTACTCCTGCATAACTGCCTTAGTTTACACTACAGAGCAAGCACATGCTTTACACTGCCCGAGCTCCACAACACCACCTGGAGTTTGTGTGCTTCCTACCTAGGGTTTAGATCAGCCTACTTTATCCCAAAACAACATAGCACAGCCCCATGATAGAAAAGTGGAAATGTGTGTGGCATCACGAGGCCACATAGGCAGAGCTGGCATTAAATCCTGAGAGGCCGGGTGCTCTAGCTCAGGTTGTGGACAAGATGGCCACATACTTTGGCACCATCAACAAAGCAGAGACAAGGCATTGCAAAGGAAGAGGTCAGCATGTCTTCCACAGACAGTACACTCATGTAGAATACTGTTAGAGCTGATTAAGTCAGCAAGGAACAATCCCAAAAGCAAACCAAGAAAAATACTACATTTATAAAACCACCAGAAAACAAAGGTTTTCAGTTTTGAGACAGGATCTCGTGTCCTAGGCTCACCTCGGCTTCACTGTAACTATGGATGGAATGGCTTTGAACCTCTTCCTCATCCTGCCTGTGCGCACCTCCTTACACCTCCTTTCCGCCGGGTTACAGGTGAAAGCCGCTGTGTGGTTGGTCCATGCTATACATACTAGGAATCAAACCTGGGGTGAACACTACCAACTGAGCTACACATCTCAGCACCAAAAACTAAAACAACAACAAGGTAAAACAAGATGTGGCTGAAGCTCAGTGTGGTGACATGACTTTATCCCTGCCTCTGGGAAGCTATTCAGGGCCACAGAGAAATACTCAAAAACTTTACAAATTTCAGAAATTAAGATAGCTGGGCAGAATAACTTGCAACTGTAACTCCCTCTGACACCAGGCCCTACCTTCAGTGCGGTGGTTCCCAGGAAAGTCCCACATCGACAGCTGGCCCGAGTGCTAAGCCCGGGATCTGCTTCCAGGCTTTCAGGGCTGTCTGAGCAGATAGACTCACTTCGAGGTCCCCCCACGCAGCTTCTAGAGAGGCAGAAAGAGAAGAAATTTAGCTGTCTTTTGATTTTTCTAGTTTCCTTTTTTAGGCCAGCCTCTTTTGGCTGGTGGATGCCGCAGTGAAGGAGGACTTCCGGCAAGGGCAGAGTGCCCTAGTAATGGCAGCATTTCTCTCAGAAAATTACAGTTAGACCTGTAAGCATCTCACATGGATCTAAGGCTAAGGTACAGGGGTGCGATGCTAGACCCGCAGTTCTCAGTCTGTGGGTAGCGACTACCAGAAAACACATTCCCAATGGCCTTAGGAACCCTCAACTATAAATTTATTTTCATCACTACTTCATAATTATATTTTTGCTACTGAGTGATGTCTCAGTTCCTAAGACCATCAGAAATAAGTGTTTTCCAATGGGTGCGACCCACAGGTTGGGAACCACTGCCTTAAACTGACAAGCTGACCATCCTACTTCTTGGCTATACTTTCCTGCTGGGTGTTCAAGACCATTGTTGTGGCCATAATTAATTATATTTTTTGTTTGTTTCCCTGTCAAGGCCATTTGAAGATCTGGTCCTCAGGCTCCTCTGGGCTCCTTAGATTCGTTTTTCCATCTATGCGAGAACAAGTCAAAGGCCTTGCTTGAAAGCATGGAGCACATTTTCCCTCTGTTCTGACCCCTCCTCTTTGTAGACTGGACACTGGGTAGAGCTCACCACATGGGGTATGCGTGGCTCTGAAGGAATGAGACCCCTACAACTGACATTTAAAAGATGCCTGCCGTACAGTCCCTACAGGTCAAGGTGGGAAGATTCTGCCTTTTCATCCCTCTGAGAATATTAGTGTAGCTCCTAATACAGTTACTCAACACCCAGAAAGTATCTGCCCGGTACTGTAATGACTGTGCACTATTTAGATAAAGCTTGGGCAAAAGCCAAACACTTAAAACTTTGATTAGATGTACATTTTTGTTTCTTAAGCCAATTCTTGTCATTATTATGGAGACCAGGCCAGTAGTAATTCCATCAATTTGAGTTGAGATTCAACATCAGCGAAATGAACTCTGACCTACATGCCGTATCTAACTCGCTCAGGCCCTTGTCACTTTGGAAACACATCTAGCTACCCTGCGGAACATAACATCAACACCACCTTAGTAAAAGAAAGTTGAACAAACCGCATACATAATAAATGATCATTACCTGTGTACGTGCTGTTAAACTATGGGTTGGTAAGTTCCCAGGTAAACCTTTTAGAGCTCACAGGACGCTCTTCATACCGTGCACAGAGCGATGTGCCCTAACTGTTTCTGGTTCTGAAGGAACATTACATAGTAGTAGAGACAGCTTTGTTATGTGTGAGATGAAGAATGGTCACAGGCCTTTACTCTGGTTATTTTGCTGTCCTTTCTTCCTGTCACAGAGTCGGCCACACTGACTTAGGAAAACGTAGAGGCCTTGGAAGACATTTTTAAACAAAACATGGTTGGGTCCAAATCCCACCTCCAGAGCCAGCTCAGCTTCTCCGTGAGCTCAAACAGCATGCAACAACTTAATGGATACACAAAAGCATTTGTTCTTCTCTAAGCCTGACCCTCCACACACTGTTGGGTCCAGGGGTATCTGGCCAGTTCCAAAGTACCTGTCCTCCTTTGTGCAGATGCATCTTACCTATTGGGGCACACATTCTAAGACTTCAAACTTTTCCAGTTCAGGAGCATCCGTGGCTTTATCAATGCCTAACCTGAAGCTCTGGCTAGACTTGGAGGGACCAAGTGACTGGAGGTCTGTAGTACTCTGCTGCCTAGACTGCTAAGGAGGGCCTGTGGATATGTGGCTCTGAATACTGCAAGGGAAACATTCCGGGGAGATTGGGGCCATGCCTCCTGACAAGGAACAAGAGGGTTGTTTGAGTTCCTGAGGATCTAACTGTGCTAGGTGTTGGAGGAACAGCTGAATGGACCTTTCTTGGAACCAGATAGTTCTATCCGCAAGGAGATGGAGGAGGAAGAGAAGTCTTGGGCCACAGTTGCCTTCTCACTTCCATGGTTCCTTTGCCCACCAGGATGAGCATGTCCAATCGGTGAGCAGCTAGTGAGGTCTAGTCTGTCCCAGGGAGGGACCAGATTTAACTAGGATTTGCACACTTTATCCGTGGCTCAGTCCCCTACTATTTGCCGTGTCCTCCTTTAATAGACCATAGAACCCGAGAGGAACCGGAGCCCATTTGCCTGTGTGATGGGTGCTGTTCCACTCCAGCCTCACGTGATCTCATCAGTCACAGAGCTGGAAGCACAGTCAGATGCAGAAAGGAAGTAGGCAGGCCCCAGCTCCTTGGCCTGTTGGCACACTACGGGAAGCCCAGGAGCCAGGACTGATCTGCTTATCCATCGACAGTGAAGAGTCACCTGCAGAAATCCTAGAGAAACAGATAGAACACATGCATACCCTAATTCCAGGAGGGAAGACCCAGGGCACAACTGCAATCCGAGCTCAGTGTCCAGTGTTTAAATCCATTTATAATCTGGGCTCCAGAGGGCTCAACCGGCCCTCCGGCTCTGCCTTCTGCAGCACAGTCAGCCTCAGGCTCATGCCAGCTCCACTGCACACCTCCCGCTGTCTGTGGGGTCATCCCAGTACTGGCATTTCCCACAGCTCTCTTGCCACTAAAGTTTGGCTGCCAGCATGGGATACAGCCTTGGTCCCTCTTACCACAGCCCGTGTGCTGACCTGGAAGAACTACTTCCCAGAAGATTAACCACCATGACACTGTTATTAATCACAGCCAATTCTTCGCCCCAGCTGACCAGAGACCATGGCTCACATGAACAGCCCTGAGTCACATTTCCCTCTGAACCTTCACAAGCCACGCCCACTAGCCCATTACCAGCCACAGCTGACAGCCCACAGGTTTGCCTCCGACACCATATTCCCATCTAGTCCTCAGATCACAGCTGCTAGAGTACATGTGACCTGTCTTTGAGACGAATGTCATCCAACTGAAATAGGGTCCATGCAGCTCACAGGTCCTTTCAGAGTTGGCCAGCAAGGTTTCAGACACATGCAGGGCTTGCCATTTGCTACCTAATCTGCCCAGTGTTCAACAGTTGATGTAGGAGGTCCTTCTGTCTTGGTTAATGAATCAAGAAACTGCCTTGGCCTGTTGATAGGGAGAACTAGGTAGGGGGGGAAACTAAGCTGAATGCTGGGAGAAAGAAGGACGGAGTCAGAGAGAAGCCATATAGCCGCCAGAGATGGGATGCCGGAACTTTAGCCACAGCCATGTGGCAATACACAAATTAATAGAAATGGGTTAAATTAAGATGCAAGAGTTAGCTAATAAGAAGCTAGAGCTAATGGGCCAAGCAGTGTCTTTAAATAATATAGTTTCTGTGTGATTATTTCAGTTCTGGGCAGCCAGGACAAACAAGTGGCCCCTGCCCTCTCCAACAAACAGTGGCTGTTCATACCCACCTTTCCCTTTGGATCTCACTACATAACCATCAGGACAAGTATTCAAGGTGCCAACAAGTAGCACCTGTCACACAGTGACCTCAGAGGGTGAATCCAGTGGTCCCTGTGACAATGACCTCACACCTCACAGAGAGGGAGATTCCTCAGTGGCCTAAAGCCACCCCTAGTGGGGTGGGGAACATCTGATTGGTACAAAGATGCAAGCACTCATGGGTACTACCTCCAGAATCCCTGTGACAGTGACCATGGCTTCCCATGGTTAAGTGGCATCTACTCCACTTCAGCACTACCTCTCCTGGTCTGGCCATGCCATGGTCACTGTCAGTATTTACATAGGAAGCAGCTGAGCAGTCGTCCCATGGCTAGCCTACCCCAGGTCCTGCACACACCTATTCACAGCCCACCAGGGTGCTCACAGCCAGGATCACAGCCCACAGCCAGGATCACAGCTCACCGGGGTGCTCACAGCCAGGATCACAGCCCACCAGAGTGCTCACAGCCAGGATCACAGCCCACCAGAGTGCTCACAGCCAGGATCACAGCTCACGAGTGCTCACAGCCAGGCCCACAGCTCACCAGTGTGCTCACAGCCAGGATCACAGCTCACCCGAGTGCTCACAGCCAGGATCACAGCTCACCCGAGTGCTCACAGCCAGGATCACAGCTCACGAGTGCTCACAGCCAGGCCCACAGCTCACCGGGGTGCTCACAGCCAGGATCACAGCTCACCTGAGTGCTCACAGCCAGGATCACAGCTCACCCGAGTGCTCACAGCCAGGCCCACAGCTCACCGGGGTGCTCACAGCCAGGATCACAGCTCACCCGAGTGCTCACAGCCAGGATCACAGCTCACAGCCAGGATCACAGCTCACCGGGGTGCTCACAGCCAGGATCACAGCTCACAGCCAGGCCCACAGCCAGGATCACAGCTCACCTGAGTGCTCACAGCCAGGCCCACAGCTCACCGGGGTGCTCACAGCCAGGATCACAGCTCACCCGGGTGCTCACAGCCAGGATCACAGCTCACGAGTGCTCACAGCCAGGATCATAGCTCACCGGGGTGCTCACAGCCAGGATCACAGCTCACCCGAGTGCTCACAGCCAGGCACCAGGCACCCAGCGATCTGGCGAGGACTGAGCTTCCCCGAGATCCTTCCCCAGGTGTACTGAGTGGGGCTCTGCCCTCTCTGCCCCTTCCTCCTTGAGAAAACTCTCCATTCCTTGCTGTCCATTTCTTGAGGTCCAGTTTGCCCAGCCTCTTGGCTTAGGAACGGCAGCCTAAGCACCCACTCTGGTTCTCAAGGAATCAGTCTCCTTCCAGCCCTAAAAAAGGTCAGATCACTCCACCCCATGAGTGCCCGAGCCCCTACTCTCCTCCTGCTGGAGTGGGCGTTCACTATGCTAGCTGTGGTCAGTGTGTTCCCTAGTTCAGAAGGGACCCTGGGAGTACCAGCTGGGTCACAGCCAACTCAGTCTTCCAAGATTTTCAGTCAAGTCACTTCTTCTGAAATTCTGGTAAACCCCCAAGAAATATAACCAGAGAAAACAGCTGTCTACAGAGTTACTGAGTCCCTTCTGGCATAAACAAAATATCGAACTGGGAAAGACCGATGAGACCCCGAGAAAAGAAAAGTAACAACTTCATCCACTCAGAATGGGAGAAGCTGGAAGCCGTTTGTTCCACTGACCCTGGCTTAGGTATTTTACAGGCCCCTGGGTCCTCCCCGTTTCCCTGTCCATCCAGTCTAGACACCCTCTGAGCCGGGAACAGCAAGCGTGCCTTAGCTGCATGCTTCCGCCAGGAGTAGGGGCTACGGCCTGTGGTCCCATTTGCCACCACAGAACTGCCTTCGGTTTTGCTTTGCTCGCACGGTTTTGTTTTGAAACAGGGCCTTAGACTCCTGGGTGCTAGGCTGGCCACAGAGCAGCGCAAAGAAAAGAGCCTGCTCCTTCAGAGGCTCAGGGCTTCATTTCCAGCATCCACCCGGCTGTTCACAACTCCAGCTCCAGGCAATCTGGCGCCCTCTTCTGGCATTCCTCGCTATCGCTACCCCAGTAAGACTTAGGGGAAAATAAGGTTAAACACACACACCCGTACTCAAGCAGGTCATGTAGCCCAGCGTCCACACTGGGCTTCACCATGGTAGGGCCTCTGTCCCCTCCAGCCCAGCCTTCACAGGGTGCTTCATTCACTGGCCTTTCTCCCTGGCCCTGGAGGCTCAGCAGTCCTGAGAGGGATTTGACCAGTGAGTGCTTTGTATTTTGCTTTGCATTTTTTTGGGTTTGTTTTTGTGGAGTTTTTGTTTTGTTTTGTTGTCTTGATGTTTTATAGGGTTTTGTTTTGTTTCAGTTTTGGTTTGTGTGATTTTTCTGGGACAAAATTGATCAGAAACAAACTCCAGACTGGGGCTGTGAGCACATGGACAAAAAGACCTTAGGGTATGCTTGATGTGGCTGCCTTTGTGTCCCAGGCAAGTATGGGAACCACTGGTCCCAGTGTCCCTAACCCCACAGCGACCAGTGGTCTGGATCTGAGATAATGGGCCAGAGGTGCTGACTGCACAGGCCTGGGAGACACAGCAATGGGCTCCATCCTGTGGTCACTGGAGAAGCCAGCTCTGCCAGGTGACCGTCTACTTGCAGGTGGGTTAGCCTCACTTTTCTAGACAAAGAGTAAAGAGGAGGTACAGTAACCTGATGTGTGGGAGGGACAATGGCCTTGGGTTACCTGGAATATAGCCCAAGGGGAAACCTCTGAGCCCTCTATGGCTTCTGCTAGGAAACCACTCACCAGATCAAACGAACAGGGCTGCAAAGAACACTAGAGCAGGGCTGGTCCGGCAACAAACATTCCAACACCCCCACGCGCTTCCCTGGAGAAGGTCGGTGAGGAGACAGTGGCTTTGTGAACGGTGGCTGCACAGGGTCCGCACTGGGGGCCCGCTTCCTTGACTGGTGTGTGGGGGGAAGTGTGGGTATCCATGGAGACGGGGCGGAGAAGGGGTGGGGCGCTCCCAACGTTTACCCAACGGCCAACCGCTGAACTGCAAGGCAGTCGGGCACTAGGTGCTGCTGCCTCCCGCAGCGGGGCCTGAAAGCTGGGAAAGACGGCTGCCTCTTCCTAAGATCTGGGCCTCTGCAGGCCAGGACAACCTCAGAAACAAACCCTTTCTTCTTCCCTGCTAGCCTGGGCTGGGCAGCGACCTTGTGGGTTGCCTGCCACAACTCTGGCAGCACTTAGGGCACCCAGCATCAGGACCCAGGCCCTTCCTTAAGCAAATGAACATTTGTGAGCATGAGACCCAGTTACATAGGACTCGGTCACACAGAGTGGCCGATAGAACCAGGGGAGACTAGCTAGCACAGGACCTCAAGTGCCCCGAAGGAAAAACATGCAAAAGGCACAGGAATGGGGCCGGGCAACCCTACTTCAGATGGGGGGTTTGGAGACGGCCTTTCTGTGGAGGAGCAGGTCATGGGGAAGTATTTGGGGACATTAGCGGAAACGACGGAAAGGCCCCCAGGTAGAATGGGTGTTCTAGAAAGGCAGGACCCTAACACCTCGCTCCAGAGACATTGGATTTTATACCCACAGGGGAGGACCTATGGCAGCGTTTTAAAAAAAAAAAAGAAAGAAAGAAAGAAAAAAAGAGGCAGCAATAGACCCAGTTGGATGGGGCAAGGGCAGGCACTCCTCAGATCAATGCAGCTGTGGACCAAGATACTTCCAGGAGGCTGAATCTTTCCCCCATCTTTTTTTATTTTTCCAGGGCAGGAGCTGTCTTTTGAGACAGGGTCTCTTTACATAGCCCTGGCTGTCCTGGAACTCACTATGTAGACCAGGCTGGCCTCAAACATAGAGATCCTCCTGCCTCTGCCCTCCCCATTCTTCGGTGCAATGCTTATAAAATCGTGTCTGGCTCTCAAAAGTCTGATTCTTGAGGTTTTGTCATTGAGGCCTATAAAAGTGCCCAAGGCCTTTGTCCATGGTACTGGTCCTGACCCAGGCCACCCAGGAATGAAAGAACCCAGTCACTGGCTTTCTCTGCTGTGCTGACCCTCGACTTTAGGGATAGCATGGGAATGATGACACTAAAAAGCGACAAAACCAAAAACACCTTTTTATTTGAGGCTAGGAGTGAGGAGGCAGGACTGATGTGTGTGTGTATGTGTGTGTGTGTTTGTGCAACAGTGAAAAGCATGTTCTTGTACTGCCTAAAGTTTAGGGACTCGCTACTCGCTGTACCATTTACACCAGACAAGAACTCTGGCTCTTGCTTCCAGATGAATAGTTAAGGTAACTCTGAAAACTTTCCAGAAAGAGGAGAGCTCCTGCCTCTGGGATGTGTCATGCTGTGCTCAGTGGCCACTCACAGCCTGCTCAGCCCTGCTGGTGGGTGCTCTTTACATGAGGAATACATTTCCTTTCCTGAATCTCCTCTGAAAACTTCTAAGGGAGAAAAACAGTCCATTGATTTTGGTAAACTTGTTCTTTTTTTTGGTGGCAGGATAGAACCTAGGCCCTCAATGACTAGGAAAGTACTCAATACTGAGCCAGTTCAGTCCCCTTAAATAAAGACAATGGACAATACAGTTTTCAAGGTGAAAAGAATGGGTCACAGAACTGAAATTTTCTGTGTTCAGGTTGTGTGTGTGGGGGGTAGAGAAGTATTCAAAATTTTTGCAAAATGAACATTTTCTACCAAATATGCTCTCTTCCTTATTCAGTACTCACTGATAAAGGGCAGACATGGCCTTTTTGCTTCTCGTGGTGGACAGTGTTTCAAATACTTGCTAGGTTTTATTGGGCATGTTTGTTTACATTAGTTGCTGACCTTAAACAGAGAAGACCCAGAGTGTAGAATTACCAGAAAAATTCATTAGTTTCTTCTGTGATGTCAACAAAGAAAAGCTGGTTGGGGGTTACAGAGCCCTATGGACCTTTCACAGTGCAGGCAGAACACAGGACTGAACCAGCAAACAGCACACACATGCCCTGTCTCCTGAGGCTAGACAGTTTCTGGGACTGTTGCCAGTGGCACATATGCAGAGTCCGCTTGGGATACCTAAGGGTTGTCTTTGAGCCAGAGACCCAGGAGGCTGAGGTACCCTTCTGTACCCTGTGTCCAACCCTGCAGCTTCTCATCCTCTATGAGGTGACCTGCCAGGTGCCTCTATGTGACCCCGTTAGCTGGACGCCCGTTAGCAAGGGCGAGGGCAGGACCTAGGAAATCTGCTTGGACGATATTCCAGATACACATCCTGGTCCCCACCTCTTTCTTCATGTAAGATGGAGGCTGGGACAAGGGCGCCTCCTAAAGGCCATCTCTCATAGACACTCTTGTCCTAGAACAGGACAGATCCTCTTCTGAGGTGTCCCGGCAGTGCCAGCTTGGTGAGGTTTGCTTTGCTTTTTAATCTTTCATAAATATAGTCCAAGATAGAGTGACCAAGTCTCTGTGACAGAGGGATGGATATTGCAGAAAAAGCTTAATGAAAAGGAACCAGAACGGCCTGTTGAGGAATAGCAAAGGAGGAGCATGGGGCAGAAGACAAAGCCCAGGATCCTGGAGCCCTGGGATCTGGGCAGAAACGTGGTGTCGCTAACTCACCTGCAGTCAGACGCCGACGATGCCCAGTTTGTGACACTGCCCGTGTCTGTCTGTGATGGCAGTGAAGAGGCGGTGGTGTGGCCCCAGCAGCTGCTGATCAGCTCCTAAGTTGGGGAGCTCAGGATTCCCGAGCCCTAATGGGGCAAGAAACTCTCTGTATTAAAAGGAAGTTCTGTGTCCCTCACAAGAGCCACAATTACCTTTATGCTAGGTTCTGAGGTGAGGTCCCACCACCTGCCCTGTTGGGTGCCTTAGACCCCATGAAGCTCTTGGTCCTGGGTCCCCCGTGGAGATGGTGGCATGAAAGAGTCAGAAACACCCAAAGTCTGTTCTTGGCTTGAGTCGCATCTCATTCATTCAACAAATATTTATTGAGGGCCTACTATGTGCCGGGCTGTGTAGTAGGAGTTATCGAGTCTTCCTCTAGCTAATGCCAGGATCCCAGAAAGCGAGAGCACTGCTTGAGTGGGCCCAACAGTAAAGAGTCGCTATCTGTCACAGCCAGTCTCTCCCAGCTACCTGACACTGCTCTCAGGAACCCCTGCCAGGGCCTGCTCTGCTGTCCTAGGTTGAAGTTTCTGCCTCCTTCCCCCAGTCAAGTGAGATCAGAGGTCCAGCAAGATGGGGAGTCTAGCTGACAGGTCTCACCTAGGCCCTTCCACAGTGGCCTCTCATCCCATCCCAACTCCTTAGGGACCCATCACTTCTTCAGGGACAAAAACAAGGAGTGATCAGTGCCACTGGGAGAGTTCAAGCAGGGCTAACAGCCCCCCACCAAGACTGTAAACTTGCACCTGGTGAAGATGGATCCCTTCCCCCAAAGCAACTGGATGTCCAAGGCTTTAGTGGGAAGGCTGAAGGGCCTCCAGTTCTGGTGCTGAGCATGGGACATCTAGGATGAGGCCTAGGGATGGGTCTTTATTAACACACCCCTGCACAACCCTTTTTGAGTCAGAATGCAGGAAACAGCAATTCCAAACTAAGGGTCACGGGGCAGGTGGCAGGGCCCAGGGTAGGTAGCAGGCACCCAAGGCGGTCAGCATGGACAGCAAGAGACAAGAAGCAGGAACTTGTAGTGAGAATGGAAAACAGGAAATGAAATTACGTCGGGGTTCAGCAGAGCTGCTCCCTAAGCTGGTCTTCCCAAGAGCCCGAGGAGGGTGGCAAACTACGGGGGCCGGGGGGGACTGTGGGGGCACAGCAGGAGGATGGAGAAGGAGGCATCAAGACTGACATGTAAGTCAGTGAGCAAAGCCGGGACGCCCACCTAGCCATGCCAAAGGAAAGGCCACACTACACCAGTGCAGAGGGCAGCTGCTATGTTAATAACATAAAGGACCAGAAGTCTGGTGCCAGGTGGCTTTTCCCAGTTCACTGGCATTGCTGCCACCCTCAAGAGTGCCCTTTTCTTTCTTAATAAACTGCCTCTATTTCTATCACTATCCATGTGTCCCTTGTTAGGTCTCAAACACTGGACAAATGGCTGAGGTGTCCATTAACATATCAAAGCGGACACTGGCCAGCTGCCCCAGCATCACTCAGTGCTTGTGACTCCAGCTCTTCTTACCCCAAGGGCTGGGCTTCTGCGCTCCTCCTCCACCCCCCACCCCCTGTCATTTTTGCTAAAGAGGCCTCTTGGTCTCTTAGCTCAGGCTGCCTCTCTTGCTCCTCCCTCTCAAGGTCAGCCTGGACTCTCCCCTCTGCCTGCTTTCTCCCTTAGCTCTACAATAAAAATCTTCTCCAGACTTTAGGAGTAGTGGTGTCCTCCTCTTCATTCATCTGGTGCTGAAACCCAGGAGCAGCATAAATGAGCTCCCTTCCAAGGGCCTCAGCCTCTGGAACCAACTGCTATGATATGACACGTCATGTCCAGATCATTTGTTTATGCTGGCTGCTGTCACCCACAAAATTTGATTCCAAATTCCACTCTCCTCTATCTGTTCTAACCATTGTCTCTCCCGCTCTCCTCTGCAAGCCCAGCTCACATGTCAAACAATACTCCTGGGCATTTAAGCAGATGCCCTCCAAACTCAGATCTGGGCGCACTACAGCACCAGAAGCTGAAATGGGGCTCAAGGCACACAAAGAAGAGCAGAAGGGAGCCGGGCGATGGTGGCGCACGCCTTTAATCCCAGCACTCGGGAGGCAGAGGCAGGCGGATCTCTGTGAGTTCGAGACCAGCCTGGTCTACAGAGCTAGTTCCAGGACAGGCTCCAAAGCCACAGAGAAACCCTGTCTCGAAAAACCAAAAAAAAAAAAAAAAAAAAAAAAAAAAAAAAAAGAAGAGCAGAAGGGGATGAGAAAGGAATCTAGACCTGGCCTAGGCCGGTAGTGCGATGCTGTGGGAGAGACGGCGCACAGCGGGGACGGGGGGGGGGGGGGGGGGGGGGGCTCCATACCCATCCTCCAGTCTCTGTCTGGCCCTGCACAGCTCTGGAGCGGGGGTAGGCGAGAGAGAGCAGTAACTCTGGTACAGCTTCTCAGGCCCAGCACCCAGAATCAGAACTCTACACTTAGGCTGCAAGGGTCTCCATGGTGAAGCCCTGGCCTGCTGGCTCATGGTCCTTTCCACAGGGGCCTCTTTAGGACATGTTTTCTCAGAACATCAAAGCCTCTGCTAGGTTCCAGCATAGCCAGGACTGTCTGCGACTGGGGTCTGCCCTCATCTGGAATCCCACTGCAGCCCCTCTGCTGATCTCCCGATCTGGAGGGCCCCCCAGGCTCTTCCCATTGACCAGCAATCCCCCCATCATTGCCCAAACTGGGGAGTGAAGACAAAAGGGGTCCCAGTCGAATAACAAGGCCTCCTGCAGCTTCACGATACTCATTTGCATCCTAAAGGCACCTTCCCACCATCCTAGTGGCTGAGACTTCCCCTTTGTGCTCCCATCCAGGCCTAAAGCCACTTGATGTTCCTAAAGGGGGAGCACTCCTCCCTCACCCCATCTTGCTGGCCACTGCAGAAGGCCAGGGCATGCACAGCCTCCAGCTCTGAGCCAGGACTTCAGAGCAGCACAGGCCCTCCCTCCCTTTGCCAGGCTCAGCCTGTTACAACCCAAACTGAACTCAGATGTCACACCTACAGCAGACCCTCCCCCCCTCCGCCTCCCCCCCACTTCCCCCCTCCGCCTCCCCCCCACTCCACCCCCATACTGATGGGCACCCCACTGAGGGCACTGTCTGTCAATCTCTAGCTAACAGACTTCAAAGTGCCCAGATCTCTGACTTGTGGCTACTGTGGTCACGCACCCCTGTCCTCTCCCCCTTCCCTGTTATTTGCTGCAAAATGAGAGAGAGCCTGACTTCAGGCTGTGAACCCCCATCCTTCAGGGACCCAGACTCTGTCTGCTGACAGCCATGCTGCTGTCCATGACATCAATAACTCTTCTAATGAACTCCTTACCCCCACAATCCATCTCATTGTCCTCTCTGAACCCCACTATTCAAGATCTTTCAGCTTGTAGGGAACAGGTGCCCCCACCACTCAGTCAGAGTTGTGGGATCTTAATCCTGGTCTTCTTCCCTGCGTCTGTGTGGATCACTTCAGCCAGGCTGCACTTTGCTTCCTGTCCATCATGTTCTGAAGCTGCTTTCTCTACACGAATATGAGACTGGTACTCCAGCTGCTAGGACCAGGGCCTGGGCCTTAGCAGCCCAAGAAGTTCCGCCATCATCCTCAACAGGTCCATCAAAGAAGCAGTAGAGAGGAAAGATTTAGTGACCGCACAGGGAAGGAACAAAGAGACCCAACAAGAGCCCCAGCATCATCCTGCCTACCATCTTGTCCAGCACAGAGGTCGGACATGTTGTCGGAATCTGAAATCTTTTCCAGAAAACAAGCTCCCCTCTACATTCAGCCTTTTCCTTTCCCCAAGAGGAGATTCTTGGAAACATTCCAATTGCACTGGGAAGTGTTGGGAGCCAACAGCAGGGGCATAGAAGTGTCAACAGTGCTTCTCAACCTGGGGGTCGAGACCCCTATGGGATCAAATGATTCTTTTTCAGAGGTCGCCCAAGGTCATCGGAAGACACAGATATTTACATTACAAAATTACAGTTATTTATTAACAACAAAAATCCTTTTCTGTCTGGGGTATTAAAGAGTTGCAGCATTGGGAAGGTGAGAGCCGCTGCTGGAGACCACCTCCACTCTTGCCAGTGATGAGCTTTCAGATGAGCTCACCAGAATATGTCACCTGCAGCAGCCTCCTCCAGCTGCCCTGGAGGAAAGGCGAGCCTGTGTACTGTGGACCTCTGACAGACTCAGGTGCCCTGTTTCCAAGAGAATGGCAGGGCACACTAATTATTCCCTGAAGGAAATTTACAGCCCGCAGACTGCCAGACTCCAGAACATGAGAGTGCTCTGGGCGTAATGAGCTCGGCCCAATTAGCCTTGCCACCCTTCCAACTGTTCTTACAGCTTTGCTGTCAAACATCCCTTCCCTGGAGAGCAAGCTGGTACTGTGCCTGCTCAGCTGCCAGGTAGAAAACCACTAAGAAGGGTCTCCCACTCTGCCTCAAGGGCCTGAGCGCTCTCCTTGGGGCCCCACCATGCTCTTTCCATGGCATTAATATCCAAATAAATCCCCTACTCCAATGGCAGTCAGCCTCAGTGTCTTCCTTGAGCCCAGTCCCCAAAAACTTTCCATTACAGGAACGTCAAGGAGAAGGGTCACTCACTTCAAATGCCATCTGACTGGGTGTGGGGAGCTCACATCAGGCAAATTATCAAGTCGTGGGGTTGGGATTGCTGTCAAGCCTGCTTTGATCCCTAGCACACACATGGTGGAAAGAACTACTTCTTACCAGCTGTCCTTTGACCTACACACACACACACACACACACACACACACACACACACACACACACGCGTGGTGGCATGAAGGCCCTCCCTTCCCACCTCACTAAATACAATTCTAAAAATTTAAATAGCAAGTCTCTGTCTAGAAAAAAAATGCATACAGACACAAAAGCAACAATAACAACAAAAACCCACAAGCCAGAGCCAAGCCCACAGCTAAAAGAGAAGCGCACCTGGTGGCGGGAAGGCCGTGAAGGAAACAATACTGGGAGGCAGCATCGTGCGCCCTGAGACTGCCCGTGCGCCGTGCAGCCGCCTCAGGCAGGAGCCCTCAGGGGAGTGTAAGGAAGAAAAGGGCTAGAGGCTGAAGCTGGAGCCAGGGAGCAGCCTAGACCGGTGGCTGCAGGGCTCACCGTGCCGGTTGCACAGCCACTGGAGTCTATTAGCAGAGGCTGGCACCACGCCCCTCTCGCAGATGTGGGGTGAGGTGAGGGTAGAGGCTTGGACAGATGTGGGGCAGGTTGACTGTCAGCAGCGTCAGGAATACTCAGGAATACGCAGCCCAACACAGCGGCCAGCACTGCCTGGAGACCTCCACTTAGGTGAAGGGAGGTCCTTGCCTGCTTCTCAGAAAACACTTCAGAATGAGTTAGAGTGGAGAAAAGCTAGAGAGGCTCGATATTCAGACAGTTAAAAGTGAGGCAGGAGAGAAAGATAGAGGAAAGTATGGGGCATGAAAAGAGAGGGGAGCCCCTCATCCCAGAATCTGGCTGAAGCAGGAATTCCAACACGAGTAACTGATTAAGGCTCTCTTTCCCCAGCTATCGCCTGCACCTTCCAGGACTCTCACCAGACCCCGTTTACAGGGAAGACACACACCTTGCACCCTCTGCAGTCCTCGTGGCTCCGGGTTTTAGCTAACCAGGTAATCCCAGCCAAGGCATCAAAAAAAGATGTGAAAAATATGAGGATCTGAGTTCAAATCCCAGCACCCCATAAAAGCCCAGGAAGACAGCATGCCTCTAGAGTCCCAATAATGGCAGTGGCAACAGGCAGAGCCTGGAGCATCACTGGCCAGCCAGTCTATCACAATAGCTCTAGGTCCAGTGAGAAACCCTGTCTCAGAAAACAAGGTGGTTGGGCTGAGACAGCTGAGAGGTTAAGAGCGCTGAGTTAACTCAGTTAACTTCTTACAGAGAAGCCAGGCTCAGTACCCAGCAGCCACACAGCGGCTCACAAGCATCTGTAACTCCAGTTCCTAAGAGTTTTCTTCAGACCTCTGCACACATACAGGCATACATGCAGGCAAAACACTCATATACACAAAGTAAACTATCTTTAAAAACTAGGGTGAAGCATGACGGGAAGACACCCACACACATGGGGGAGTGTGCGCCCACACGCTTTATGCATGGAGGAAGGGAAAAGGAAGGAGGGTTTCTTAGCAATCTTTTGAGATGTAACTTGAGAGCCACCAAATGGTACACACAGCTAGGGATCCTGACTCCTTCAGGGAAGCTGTGTTTCATTCTCTCGAGCATCTTTCTAACACATCTCCAGCTCTACTTCTTAGTGGCTAGTCCTCATTCTTTCTACATCAAAACCACAAACTAGTTGAGCCTGAGCAGAGGTCCCTAAAAACTGAAGGGAACTCTGAATGTGAAGGCGTGGAGCTGTATGTGGCCTTTGCCACACCTACGGTAATCTGCTATTCCAAGACAGGGGTGTGGGAGGGAAAGGAGGGAGAGGAAGGGAAGGAGAGGGAAGAGGAAGGATGGAGGGAAGGGGACTGGGTGGGAGCAGCTGAGAGCCAATCCCTGGCGACCATCTGGGTCTGTCTGCACATCTGTAACTCTAGCACTGCCAAGGCAAACACAGCAGATGCCAGGAGCTTGTGGGCCAGCCGAGCTAGCAGCGGGAGACACAAGCCATGCACGTGTGTTTGTGTGTGCGTGCACACACACAGCCACACCCAGTCATCTTTATAACAACTTTCTAAAGTTACATTCCTCAGAGGAGATCACTTACAGTATGGTTTAAAGATTTAAGCAAAGCTTAAAATGCAAGGAAAGTTTAAGAGTGAGGTAAAAATACATGATCTGTCTCAGTTTTTAAAATCTTAAGTAATTTGTCTTTTGTGCTAGACAGTGGAGGCCCATGCCTTTAATCCCAGCACTTGGGAGGCAGAGGCCGGTGGATCTCAGTGAGTTCGAGGCCAGCCTGGTCTACAAAGCCAGTCCCAGGACAGTCTGGGCTACAAAGAGAAATCCTGTCTCAAAAACCAAACAAACAAAACTCACTTTGCAAATGAAATAAGGTGTTTTTAAGAGCTGCATTCTGAAGGTCAGCAAAGAGAGAAGTGCCAAGCTGACTTAACTGAAGGTGACTTTGTGTCCCTAGCTAGCGAGAGCTCATCTGATTTTCCCCTGTCTTAGGAAAAGCATATTTCTGTGGGCAATTTTAGGTTTAGTGGTGGTATTGAAGTTTCTTGACTCTTATCAAGAAAGACAAACTAGACCAAGAGGGAGGGGCTCTCCTCACCTTCCCTTTTTTCCCAAGGCTATTCTACCACAAACTGACAGGAACCAATAGACTGGCCCTAACAGGTGAAAGACCAACCAGCCCTTCCGCCTGAAGCTCCAAGTGAGCCTGTGGGCAGCATTCTAGAGCACAGAGCAGGAGGCATCAGGTTTCTGCTTGCATGGAGGAGTGGGTGCCATCAGCCCAAGGTGTTTGAAGTCACCAGGATGAGCTGCTCTAGAAATAGCGTGTTGAGTCCAGGAGAGAGTGTCCCCACACAGACTGTGGCTCAATGAAGAGCTCCATAGCGTCTCCTCCTGATGGGGCAATTCTGGCTCTGATCTCGGCTAAACCCCTGCCTACTTCCTGATGATCCTTACCACCCTTCTCCTTTGATGGGGTGTGCTGGGGCATATTTGTGCACTTTGTGAAGGTGTAATGCTGTGATTGGTTTAATAAAATGCTGAATGGCCAATAGCTAGGCAGGAGGTATAGGCGGGACTTCAGGACAGAGAGAGGAAGAAGGAAGAGGAATGGAGGCACTGGGAGAAATTAGAGGAGCTATGGAGGAAGCAGGGTGGGTGGCAGGCAATAGATGAAGAGAAACGGGTTAATTTAAGTTATAAGAGCTTGTTAAAAACAAGCCTGAGCTATGGCCCAGCTTTCACAATTCGTAAGTCTCCATGTCATTATTTGTGAGCTGGCGACCCAAAGAAAAATCCACTACAGGGATGGGGGAAGAGGGGCAGGTGGACCCAGTAGTTTGAAAGGCATCTCTGATGGCCAAGAATCTTGGGTTTCCCTTTCTTCATGAGATCGGTGGGGTGAGTTAGGGCCTTCCTGATCTCCAGGCAAACTCTCCCTTCACTCAAGAGGCCAGGGAACTGCTTGACACATATCAGCGAAAAGTTGCATGGACTCCAACTGGTATCTACTATGTCCTTCACAGGCTGGCCACTGCCTGAACCATTATTCCCTTCTCCACCTACAAGCCCTTCCTTACCAAATGCTGCAGTATTCGACCCCAAAAGCCACTCCCTGCCACACCCTCTCAGGGACATGCCTCTGGGGCTCATAACCTCACACTTGTACAGCCTGAAGCCCCCCATTTCGTTTAGATGGGACCAGGGACAGCTACTTAAGCATCACAAAATGGGGTACTTGGTGCCAGGGAATAGTGAAGCAGTGTCTGGAGAGAGGCCCTTGTGGTCGTACCAGCGCTGACACTCCCTTGGGACGTCTGGTGCCCAGAGTCCAAGATCCCAAGCAAGCAACCTCAGGGGACCTCCCTTCTGCTGTCTTCTTAGGATCCAAAGGAGACCCCCGCCCCAGAACCTTCTCGTTCTTCGCATTGCTCCTGTCGGCCGCATGAGGGCGTACCCTGTGTTAGTTCGGACAAATTAAAGCCCAGCTTGCGGGTAGGCCTGTGGTCCCCGGGGCCCAGACCTAAATCGGGTGCCCGAGGAGCACCCTTGGCTGCCCCCTGCAAAGCTCTGGGCCTTGGGGTCTCGCCCTGGGCCCACGATAATCGTTCTCAAACTGTGCGCCCCCCTCCTCCACGCTCTTGTAGCCTGGGGTACACACCTCTGTGCCCCTCCGCAAAGCCCCTCCTAGGTGCAGGCTGCCTCTGTGCCGCGCAGCGGGCTCGGACCCTGTCCAGGGCACACTGCTGAGGGTGCAGCCGCGCCCGGAAGCCACGGGCGGAGGAGCCAGCGGCCGCGGAAGGCACTCCAAGAAGCACAAGTTGGCGCTGGCCTGGGCCCAGGCTGTTGTTGTTCTCAACGTGGTCCGCCACGGGGAAATAAAAGCGGAGCGGGGCGCGCTCTCCGCCAGAGCGCAGCGCGCACGCCCAGAGCTCCGGAGCCGGCGCAGCCCCGCCGCGCTCCCCGCAGGCTCTCCGCTTCCCACCCCCGAGCCCCCCCGCGGCCGGCCCGGCCCCCGCCCGCGCCCCAGCCCTGCCGCCCGGTCCTAGGCCCGGCCGCGGCCGCTCCCGCCTGGAGCCGCCGCGCGCCCCCAGCCCCCCGGCGCCGCCGAGGCCCCTCGCCTTCCTCTTCCCGGCGCGGCCCCCAGGCTACCGCGCGCCGCCCGCCACTAACCCGCTGGCCACCATGTCCGTGGAGCTTGAGGAGGCCCTGCCGCCGACGAGCGCCGACGGGACGGCCCGCAAGACGGCCAAGGCGAGCGGCCCGGCGGCGCCCGCGCAGCCCAAGAAAAGGAAGAACCGCAAGAAGAACCAGCCGGGCAAGTACAGCCAGCTGGTGGTGGAGACCATCCGCAGGCTGGGCGAGCGCGGCGGCTCGTCCCTGGCGCGCATCTACGCCGAGGCCAGGAAGGTGGCGTGGTTCGACCAGCAGAACGGGCGCACCTACCTCAAATACTCGATCCGGGCGCTGGTGCAGAACGACACGCTGCTGCAGGTGAAAGGCACCGGCGCTAACGGCTCCTTCAAGCTGAACCGCAAGAAGCTGGAAGGCGGCGCCGAGCGGCGCGGAGCCTCGGCGGCCAGCAGCCCCTCGCCCAAGGCTCGCCCTGCGGCGGCAGACAGGACGCCGGCCAGGCCGCAGCCCGAGCGGCGCGCGCACAAGGGCAAGAAGGCGGCGGCGGCTGCCGGCGCGAAGAAGGTGAAGAAGGCGGCCAAACCTAGCGTGCCCAAGGTGCCCAAGGGCCGCAAGTGATGCCCCCACGGTCTGGCGACGTTGTCAAGTTTTTCAGTCTCTACCCCGCGGTGTACCGGTTCCGTACGGTTCGGCCTGGCCCAGGTCCCCCACTCCCGGTCCCTTTCCCGCCCCTCCCCCAGCGATGCTGCGTTCTGTTTGCTTTAGGTTTTTGAAACGGCCCTGGCGACGCCTTCATTGGCTCTCACCCTTAGCAACGGCCGTCGTCATGGTTACCGGCCCGGCGGCGCCAATGGCTTGGCGGCGCCTGCCGGCCGTACCCGCCGCTGGCCACCCCGGGCTCTGGTTGCGCGGCGCCTTGCTCCGCCCGCCGCCCTCCTGGGGCGCAATAAACGGTTCCAACCTTGACCCCTTGTCGTTGTCTTGTGGGGCTGTGGGGGGAGTCGAGGTTTCTAAGCTCAGCCAGACAACTGGCAGCCCGCGCTGGCGGAAGTGGGGCAGGTGTGCCCTGAGATGCTGGCCAGCAGAGAGCACAGCACCTATAAGAAGTGTGAAGAGAGTAGGTTCCCAGCCTCGGATCACTGCGCTGTCCGGCGTATACAGATTAGCTGGCCACATTGTTGGGGGTTAGAGCTCAGGGTCTGGTCTAACTGGACAATTTTGCAAATGGAAGACCCGCAAAGTTCTAGAACAGTGTGTACACATACGAGGTGGGGGTAAGCTGGGGCCAGGTTAGGAGAGAGATAACGGGGTGCTATTTCTCTGTCACTTTTAAAAAGTGGGGAAGGGCCCTCCCTGGGTCAGTAGCTGAGGGTGGGAAGGGCCCAGCGTTTCTTGGCAGGTGTGAACATGAGGCAGACCCAGCTACCTGAACAAAGTGGTCACTTCACTGCCTCTTGAAGTCTGGTACCTGACTGAAGGTTCCCTGAAAAAGTCATGGCCAGTTACCATGTCGAATTGGGCTCTACTATCCCCAAGCTGGTCAGTGACGACTCCCAGAAGGCTCAGGCCCTGTCCACAGGGCCATGACTGGGGCTAGGCCTAGGGAACAGCCTTGCCCAGCCTCAAACGGGTATTTTTAAAGTTTCCTGAAGACTACGGGTTGGCTTTGCCTACCTGAGTGTTCCCAGTACTCCACAGCCAGCACGGTGAAATCCCTACCTTGTCTTCCCTCTGCCTGCTAACCCTCTTTGGAGACATTTTCTGAGCTCTGGGGCTCCTTGGTGCCTTTTGAACTGTCATTTTTCCCTAACTCCAACTACACTCCTGCCTTCCACAAGCTTACCCCCCTCCTGCTGCTGCCCGTTGTCCAGCCCCTGGAACGCATCCCATCCCTTGGAGATGTTGGTTCTTGGCTTCTGGCTTCCACTCCATGCCCATGCTAGACATCAAAGCACCCAGAGTACTCCTCAATAAGTGTCTTAGGGTTTCTGTTGCTGTAATGAAACACCATGACTGAAGCAATTTGGGAAGGAAAGGGTTTATTTGGTTTGCATATCGTAACTGTGACTATTGAGGGAAGCCAAGTCAGGAACTCAAACAAGTAACCTGGAGGCAGAAGCTGATACAGAGATCATGGAGGATGCTGCTTACCAGCTTGCTTCTCATGGCTTGTTCACTCTGTTTTCATATAGAACCCAGGACCACCAGTCAGGGGTGATAGCACCCACAATGGGCAGGGCCCGCCCCCATGAACCACTAATTAAGGAAATATCCTACAGGCTTGCCTACAACCTGATCTTGGGGGTCATATTCTCAGATGAGGTTTCCTCCTCTCAGCCAACTCTAACTTGGGTCAAGTTAACAAAACCATTCAGCAGAGTAGGTCAGGACCCCTGCATAGTATACAAGTCCTTTAGGACCTAAGCTCACCCCAATGTCAGGTTACAGGGCTGGGGGAATGCTGAACCCCTCCAGCCCCAGGGGTGGTCATGTGACCTAAGACCTGGCCAATGAGTGCTTAGGTAGGTTGTTAACTTGGCTTCAGTTTGAGATGGAGATGGATTCAATGCCAAGCAGCTGGAGGGCTTCTCTGGACACTATTGAGAGTGACTAAATAATAGGAATATAAGGCCAGAGGTGCCACCGGTCCTGAGGCAGCAGCATGGCTCTGGTTCTGAACGGCAACTGCTGTTCTGGCCACTTGTCACAAGATAGAGGCTGAACACCGATGGCAGTGTTAAAGTATGTCAAGACCCCACCTGGGCTCCTTCACTCAGCATTTTCTGGATGGCCCTCTGGACAGTGTCAGGCTGTGGACTGGGTGGAGAAACCCAGAGAATCAGGACTAGCACAGATCTGAGGTCTGGAGATGCTTCTGGGGAGTGAGAAGGTGCAGCAGAGATCAGCAGAACCCAGGCTTCTGGGTCAACCAGAGCTCAACAGGAAGTAGAAACTGGGGGGACATGGGAGCCAATGTAGGGGTCTGACGTTATGGACATTCTCTAAGGATGTCTTCATGTCAGTTGGAACCTGAAGCCACAGCAGGCAAGCCCCCCGCTAGCTGAGATGGTATCCAGCACAGAGTGAAACCTGTCATGATAATGAGAGCATCTTGGAGAAGTCCTGACCCTTGTTCACTGTTCCTAGCGACAGGAAGGCTGGGGAGTATGGTGCCAGGCTCTGGACGTCAGGCAAGTCAGCAGATAAGCAAGTGACATGGCTACTTCCTTCTAAATCTGGCGGGAATCTGCCCACGACTCCCCCGCCCCGTGGGAGATAGGCAAACAAGGTTGTTCTGGGGATGAGAGGAAGGAGGGTGTATTGGGGTTCTCTAGAGAAACAGAACTTATAGAATGAATCTATATACGGAGAAAGGAGATTTATTAGAATGGCTTACAGGCTGTGGTCCAGCTAGTCCTACAGTGCCTGTCTGCCAGTGGAAGGCCCAGGAATCCAGGAGTTCAGCCCACAGAGCTGGACTGGATGTCTCAGCTAGTGCTCAGTATATGCTAGAGTCCTGAAGTAGGCTCTAGGGCCAGAGAAGGGACGGGCGTGTCAGCAAGAGAGCCAGCAGGCAAAGAGCAGCCTTGCTTCTCTCAGCTCAAGCTGTGGCCCAGATAAAAGATGTCTCTTCTCACCTGAAAAATCCAGTGTAGGAGCGGGCCTTCCCACTTCAAATGATTTAATTAAGCAAAATTCCTCACAGGCGTGCCCGGACATTTTGGTTTTACTTAATTCCAGGTGTAGTTGAGTTGACAACCAAGGATAACCATTACAAAGGTGGCTCCCACAGGCAGTAGGCAGGATAGTGCAACCAAGTCAACTTAAGCTAGAGCTCATGAAGTACCTCATTCAACTGAGTTTTGTCAGCCAAAATGTTTGTATTCTCCTTCAGATGTACGACCTCCTTTTCAAGAAGTTTTGTACTAGTCTGTACCGTGTCTAAAAGTACCTCAGTTGACTGAGTATTGTTAGTTAAGGTGGTTGTGTCCTGCTTCAGAGTCCCAACTTCTTTCTAAAAAGCCTGGATTCAGTCTGTAAAGACTGAACCATTTCTAAAAACGCCTCATTCTTAGCTCTATTGTCAAACCATATTTTTAAGAAAAAAAATATTGAGGACAAGACTAAGCCCCAGAAATAAATATAGTGATGTATGTTGAGGCCTGTGCTGGTCCAACACAGATCATTCTTTTCCCTAACTGGAACTGGAACTGGAACGGAGGTTTATATATCATCCCATAAATTGAGTGGGAAAACACATTAGGCTGTATCCTAGGTAACCCTGGTGAATGGCCTTCTGTCATGTCCGCATCTGTATGCTAGCTGTCACATAGGCCTAAATTAGCATCTCTATAAGACTTCCTCCAAATTACCAAGAAATAAGCCCCAAACATCCTGACCAGTTTCAGCCAACACCTCTCCTCAGGAGATCTATATTTCTAACAAAAGAAAGAAAGGAGCTGTACATCCTGGCTATTGTTACACAGAGACAGCTTGTCTGCAGAGCTACGCGAGCATCTCAGACCGTACTTATGGCTCTTGTGCTTGGCTGCCACACCATACAGAAATATGGGCCAACAGAGGT